GGAAATCGCACATTTTCACTTGGTGCAGCTTCCCGTGATAATGACAAATTTTCTGCGCTTGTACTAGCGTGGAATCTATTCCTATGATACATGTGCAAAAAATGACACCTTTGTTCTCCCGTTTAAGTGTATAATTTTCACATAAATCGCATTTATACGAAGTCGTTTTTATGGCAAAGTTTAGCAATTTTTTGTGATTAACATTCTAATTATTTTACAACAAAAAATACGTCATTTTGTACAGAAATATGTTAACAACAATCCTATGTATTTAACTTTGAATAAAGATATGAGAGAAAGCCGGGAAGCTGCACCGAGTGAACCAGTGTCGGTTCATATAAAAATCGCCATTGAACGGCGGCCTTAACTAAAAATTATTTTAGAAAAAATTTATATAAAATTTACTTTATTTTCTAATATAAAACATTCTAAAATATTAAACTTTTCGTAATTTTCGTAATCCATCTTAAAAAACAGGATTTTTAATTTGACACTACAGAAAATTTTTGAATACAAACAAATGTTGCTATGATTATTTGAATTAAAAAAATATATATGAGCGCCATCTATCAATAATTTATTAAGTCATTTAATAATAATATTAAGTATTAATAAAAAATGTGAAATAATGCAATCTATTCCAACTTTTGTGTAAAACAAATATAAATTAAATAGTTTAACAATTATATTTGTTTCAAATATCAGAAATATGTTTTTTTAGTTATTATTTACAGGAAACTGTAAATTTAATTTCTTTGACGACACTAAAAAGAAAGTTTATTTTTAGCTTTATTCTAAAACAATAAGAAATAGACCTGTCAAACCCTATATTTTTGTAATCAGAAACAAATAACGAATTTAATAAGCGAATAATTAGTGATTGTTTCCTTTTAAAAAAACGAAAATTGTCATGATATCTCAAAATCTAAAACCGAAATTTTTTTTTGACTACTTCATGAAATTCTCTAACTCGCCTGCATAACTCCTCAACGTTAACCAGGGGAGCCAGTTGAAGTCTCCGACCAATCATGTCCCAAACATGTTCGATCGGATTCAGATAGATTCAGATCGCCGGCCAAGTGGCCGCCACCAGATTAGATGACCATATGGGCCCGATTTATGGCATTTTCCATCATTCTTAAGAGCATTTTCGGCAATAGATCTCGCATTCTTGACGGATATTCTCTTTGAAGGCTTCAAGTGTCTGAGGTTTGTTAACATAGAGTCGTGACTTCCAAAAAACCCACAAAAACAAGTCTGGAATGGTTAAATAAAAAAACATGAGAGATAACCCAGAAATGCAGCCTTCAAAATTTTGGTTGTTGCTTGTGCAGTATGCGCCATTGCTCCATCCTATTGAAGCCATATCGTGCAGCATCTCGTGTTGTCTCATACTCTTCAAGGCATGCGGTTAAACGCCCGAAATTCACGCTGACGAATTATTCCCAAAAAACTAGTTATTATTTGCAGAAGTCTAAATACTGCGGGTTAAAGAGTAGATACTCCTGAGAGAAGACTAAATACCGCTGTTAGAGAACTACATACTGTTAGTGGAAGACTAGATATCGATGGCATTGTTCAAAATGTTAATATCACTTAGTTCCGGTGTTGTAACGAGATCCTTGATAACCTAATCTATGAAGCTGCCTCAATTTACTTTTCTGCTGTACATAGACCACGAAAATGATTTCTAATTACCTCTTGAATAACTATTTCCATACTTCTGTTGTTATTTGATTGGAATCCAAAAAGTACAATACATATCTTCCAACCTTTCAATGCTGGTGCAATTTAACAATCGCTAATTAAGTAGAAACGAGATTTTTATTAACACCAGCTATTGCAAGTAGCTTGAAATGTATCCCTATATCTTGTTGCGTATTGCAAATGTTGCGCATTAAATAACTTTCCAAAATTTTAGTTTTCTTTTTATTTTTCTTGATTTTTTACAACTAACAAGAATGAATATTACTTTACCATTAATTACAAAACAGCCAATATCAAATTAATTCTAAGATGAAAAACCAAAACGTTACAATAGATATTCCGTTAAGGTCGAGTACACCATAATCTGCAAGACATCCAATTTAGTAATCTAGATGCGCAATAGATTTTCTAACATTTCAGCAGTTCGCATCTGTAAATATCCAATTCGTTCATTAGATACCCATCAGTATTTATAGTTGAGGCATCCAATAGGCACATTTTGCGTTGCATCAAAGAGACATACATTATTATTATTATTACTGATTGTAAAACATTGAAGTTTACAACGTTATACACTACTATACTAACTTCGCCATTTGTGGTTTTGAAGAAAAATGTTTCAAATTCAAGTTTCTTTATTACGTGCGCATTTTTTTGCAATATTTACTTGTTTGTATTGTTTTTTGCTTCGTTGCTATGACAACCAACATTGTTATTTTAAATGGGATGCATGTGCGTTTTTTGCATACTTTGATAAAGGATAAATGCGATGAACATATTAAATTATATGGTTGTATAACAAAAAAATCGAGAAAGAATGCGCTTTCTGAAAATATTAAATTAGAAAATTACAATCAAAGGAAGCGCTGAAATAACGCCGGTGACAGCTTTAAATGTCAAAAAAATGACAGTTTCAACAATGGTTGTAAAAAAGGAGATTTTAAGGTTAATCAGTGTTTTTGAAGAATTTTAGTAGATGGAATCAAAAATATTGTACATAGAGGTAAAAACAATAAAATTTATAACCGATAAAATTTGTACAAATGAGGCTGAAATTATTTCCAACAACTTTTTAGGATTTAAGAAAAATTTAGAGAAAATTTTTAGGATTTATAAGGTATTATAGAAAAAAGTATCACCTTATTAATAAAGAAACCCATCTTGTATATGAAAAAACATTTATATTGTAATGCTATATTTTATATTGGAATGTTGCAAACAAATTGGTTACATTATACTGGTTTTGAATAAAAATGTTATGGTCTCATATTAAATCAGATAGAATACTCTAACGAAAAAACAATTATGTCAGAATATGCAAAATATTAACATTGTTGAAAGGTGTCTAGTATTGAATGACTAAGATATCTACTTTAGGCCTTGGCCAACAACAACCTCGGCCAAATGACATTAAAAAATTAATATAATGGCCCTCTAAAGTTTCTTTTTAATTGAACATACGCTAGTTGAATTTTTACGATGATTTCTGAAATCTCTTTTAGATCATGCTACAGAAATTTGTGTATAGAAATGTTAATCATTGAAGAGGAACTCTGAAAAGTCAACAAGATCAAATGAATTTGAAAAAAAAAGCTTTTATTTTGAAAGATTTTAATTTAGTAAGAGTAGATGTGAATTAACTTGGTAGTTTATGTTAGTAGCTTTTACGATTAAAATAAATTTATTAAGTTATTAATAATAAAAATATTCTCGTCGTGACTCTGTTGTTTTATTAGAATTATTTTTTGATTTAATTCATTTGATCTTTAATTTTTCAGTTTGTCTCTTTTTGTTTTAATTCGGACCTGTTCGTCAATTTTGCAGAGTTAAGGCTGCGCTGACGGATTTTTCCGATCTGTGAACTAAAAACCAGATCAATCGTCAACAACAAACATCCTTCTTCCCTCCTTTTTAATGAATTGTGATTCGTAGACTGATTTGTTAATTAATTAACATATTGTAATATAATGTAGTAATTTATCAATTTTAACTGTATAAATAAATTTTTTTTTTGTTGTTAACTCAGAATTTTTCTGAATTCAACACACTCTTTTATTTTATTATATAAAAAAATCAAAATTTGGTCTATAATAACATATTTTATTAAATTTTGTGATATAATGTAAAATTGCGAACAATAAGATAAAAGCTCTTAATAATACATAAAAAATTTAATGTAAAACACACAAATTAAATTCACAACAAAAATACTGAAATTACTATAAGATTAAAATAGATTTTATTTCTTTGGCGAGATACAACACTTTTAGATTATGAGCTTAGTGCAAAATTTATCATATACATCCAAATTTTTTCTTTGATATATGTGACTAGCGAAAATTAAAAGATAATTTTAAGACTTAAAAATTCAAGAATTAATACTTAATCACTGATAGGTACAAATTAAAATCACGTTTATTTTTAAAAACAATCAAGCGCGATCCCCTGAGCCGGGCGTGTTACTTTCTTGATTAGCCAAAGGATCTAATTCAGCAAATAAACTGAGCCAAGACATCTGAGCTTTTTGGTCGGTAGTCGGTTTTTTCGATTCAGTCATTTTATCTAATTCGTCCAAATTAAAATTCATCCCTTCTTGAAGTAATTTCGACGGCATAAAATCGCCGCCAAGAAAATCGGATGTTGACGGCCAAGAAAGATCCAATAAAGTACCGTTTAATGGCGTCTTAGGGGTTTCGTTATTTGTAGGAGTTGAAAAATCTTCTCCTAAAAGATTTGTAGTTTCCGAACTATCTTCTTTAGGAGATTCAGTTTCCTCTTTTTCAGGTTTAGAGTCTTTGGTGTCTGTATATTCAGCATTAAAAAAAGTATGTTTATCTTTATCAATTTGGTTTGAAGACAATTCTGGGACTGTATAAAATTCGTATGGTTTTATATCCGTTACTTTATCAGCTGCTGTTGATAAAGCTTCAGAAGCTTTCGTGGAAAATATAGAAATTGCGTTTTGATAAGAAACTAGTGCATGTGAAAACATATTACATCGTGCAGCAGCTAATAAATCAACTTTTTGAAGACAAGCTAACATATACCTATCAAATCTTGTTTTTGTTGATCTTACATAAGACTGAGCCTTTCGAAATTGTTCTAATCCATGTCCTGTATCAGGGTCTAATTGAGATGAAGCGGATTTCATCCAACTTAAAGCTGCACGATACTCCGTTCGATACTTTTCCATTTCAACAACAGTTCCTCTTGTATCAGATACAGCTCTACCCCTAAAAGTTTCCACTTCATGATGTAATCTAACTAAAGGCGGTCTAATTGTTAAACGTTGATGACCAATATATGCAAGAGATTTTCCAGCTGTTGATAAAATATGTCCAGCATTAGAATTTTTCTCATTTTTACCACATTCCTTTAAGTATCGTCCCAACGCGTTTTCCTCTTGGGCTAAATAACACAAACGTTCCTGGTACAAGTCGATAACACGCTGCAATTGAACGCAAGTATCAGATATAGAACGAAAAAGTTCCAATTTTGCGTCCAACTCCGCATCGGACGACACGATACATTCGTCTTCTTTACCGCCCAATTTCCTTAGGACGGACTTCTTTGTCACCCAATACTGGTGTTGCATTGTATTCATTTTCGCCCCAATTAAAAATATAGTTTTGAAAAAATTATCTTCATTACAGGATTGATGACATTTTGTTTGTAAACGTCAAATAACCTATTTGTTATCACAGACATTAAAAGTAACTACGAGGCGAGTTTAAAGTGAGATAGAGATATATATGAGAAAGATGAAAGAATTTAAATTCGTTACAAATTGATTATATTTGATGTAATTATGATTAAAAAAGTTATATAACGTTAAAATATGAATAAATATATAATGTTAAGTGTAAATAGTGTTTAAAATCGTTTTAATAATGATATGAATATAGCAAATAAATCAATTACATGTTCAGAATTACCAACTTTAAAATTTGTAAATAAACGAAACCACCCCTCTTCTAGAAATCAAACGAAATGAGATAATTCGCCCCACAAAAACGCCGGAAAGTGACCGTTTAACGAATTTTTCGTATAAAATGGGTTCCGAAACCGACGAAGTTCTAATAGAGGATTCCGACGAGTCTCTGCTCGACATAAAAGAGGTTAATTTAATCAATTATCTCATTACAATCCCTGAATTAAAATAATTTCAGCTGAATGATGTCGAATACGACATTCCGCCGGTTGCCGCACCATCCCTTGAGACGATTTTATGGGATATGGAATCAGAAGAGGGCAGTGACAACACATCTTTACATTCCTTGCAAAGTTTAATGGTAAAGTTACGTTCAATGCTCTATCATTGCGTTTTGCAAGGAATTTCTACTCAAGTTACTTCAGCATGCGAACGTGTTGGAGCTGGTTTACCTACAGTTATAACAAATAGTCAGAAATTAGTGGCTATTGGTACATCTCATGGTTATGTCTTGGCGTTTGATTCCGAGCAAAATTTGTGCTGGTGTTGTCATGATTTAAGTACTAGTGATCAAGGTGCCATATCTGCCTTAGCTTTTAATTTAGATTCTACAAGACTGTTAATAGGGTATAAATTTTTATTTATTAGTAAAGATAATTCCTTTTTTAATATTTAATTTTAATTATTTAGGTATGAAAGGGGTTATATTTCAATGGTTGATGCATTATCTGGGGATATAGTAAGAAGAATGCCGGATGCCCATGCGCCTCATTCTGCAGTTTTACAATTACGATTTACTACATTAAACAGTTTGGCTTTATGTGGGGATTCGTCTGGTTGTGTTTTTTCATTATCATTTGGTCGAAGAATTGGAGTACGAGTTTCTGATAGTAAATGTTTATTTTCTGGAGCTCGAGGTGAAGTTTGTTGTTTTGAACCTTTGGTGCAAGGACAAGAAATGTTGGGAAATCACGTCGTCGTTGCAATGGCTACTTTATCAAAAGTACAATATTAAACGGTTGTGAAGTTAGCCATAGATTCCAGCCATAGATTTTAAAATCGAAAAATGACCGATTTTTGCAATTCAAAACGCAAATTAATATTAATATTTGCGTTTAGCACTCTTAGAACATTCCCTATACAAAAATTTATGGGAAAGTGTTTTCATTTAAGGGTGTAAAAAATCCCAAAGTTGTGAACAACACTTGCGCGTATACTGTTCGACCAAAATCGAAAAATGACCAATTTCTGCAACTCGAAACGCAAATTAAAATTCATAGCACTCTTAGAACAATCCCTATACAAAAATTTACGGGTGGGGGTGTTTTCATTTAAGGACGTAAAAAAATCCCAAAGTTATAAACATCGCGTGCGCGTGTATACTGTTCGACCAAAATCGAAAAATGACCAATTTCTGCAACTCAAATATGAATTCTAAACCATATTACATCTGGTACATGTTCAAGCAGGTATGCATTGTATGCAGCGCTAGTTAAACCATTCGGTAAAGTCAAGGCCCCTCACTTTAGAGATCAATATCTTTGTAACCGCTTGATGGAAAAAATTGCGGTAAAGTTTATTGTAATCAATGAACATTTCTGCGTATCACATGTTAATTTGGAAATTTTCGGGTCCGCGGTTTTTCTTTTATCGCGAGTTAAGAAAAAATACCCGATTTTTTAGAGTGCCAGCAACTTTGTCTACTTTGCGATTTTTTTCTCCAAAACTATTTGACGAAAAAATTTCAAATTTCAACTGGTGGTAAACCGGTGTGTTCTTAATGTAGGGCATATTTTATTGACCTGGCGAATTTCAACACGTTTTTTATCAAAATATGTCAAATAATGTCGGTTGTCGGATTCCGTTATCAGTTTTTCCAAATTAAGCCTCCCTAATTTTTTAAGAGCGATTTAATGGAATTACAAATTAAAGAGAACCAGAAATAAGCTATGCGGGGAGAGGAGGGTTCCGTCAATCAGAACAGATGGTGTGTCCCAGACAGTACGTCGCGCCTTTACCTTACCTCCATAAAGAAATAAGGCGCGACGTCCTGTCTGGGACGCATCATCTGTTCCGATTGGACGGAACCCATGTTACCCCGCAAAGCTTATATCTGTTTCTCTTTAATTTTTAATTCTATTAAATCGCTTTTAAAAAAATAGGGTGCTCTAATTTTGAAAAACTGATGATGGAATCCGACAACCGACATTATTTGACATATTTTGGTCAAATCCGCGAGGAAATCCACTCAGTCGTTTTCGACATAACGGCGGCTTATTAAACCGCGATTTTCCGCGAAACTGTATGGAATATCGAAAAAATAAAAAAGAAAATTCAAATTTTGTCGTATGATAGTTTTCGAGAAAAAAAATCGCAAAGTTGACAAAGTTCCCGGTACCGTAAAAAATCGGGTACTTTTTTCATTTGACTTGCGATAAAAAGAAAACCGTGGATCCGAAAATTTTCAAATTGACATATCACGTAGAAATGTTCAGTGATTACAACAAACTTTGTCGCAATTTTTTTTATCGAACGATTGCGAAGATATCGATCTCTAAAGTGAGGAGCCTTGACTTTTTGCACGGATAGTAGTTACTTCCCAACGGACAGAGTACAACATATACTATCAAAATACACGCGGATTGAATACAAAAATCAATGAATTTTTTACTTCGGTCGATGCATCGGACTTTGATGTTATTGCTCTTAGTGAAACTTTGTGAAAAATCTCGTAGAAGGACTCGGAGAAGGAAGCTACAAATAAAAGCACCCTCCATTGAAAGCAGAACTATTAACCTCAAAACAGAAGTTAAATACCTAGGGGTAATACTAGACAGTAAACTAACCTGGAACTCACACTTAGATAAGGTGAGGAAAAAGGTCATCATGGCAAACCAGATCTGCCGCAGGCTCCTAGGAAGGAACTGGGGTCTCAAACCACGAATGACTCATTGGGCCCACGTAGCAAGAATCAGACCCATGGTCGCCTACGCCTCATTAGTGTAGTATATGGTATTGGTGGTCGTCTGCGCCTCCTTTTGGTTTGGTGGCTAAAAACAAAACATAAGACAGCACAACAACAGCTGGCACAAATGCAGCGGTTAGCATGTCTTAACATAACAGGTGCAATGAGATCCTGTCCGACGGCTGCTTTGGAAGCCCTACTCCGTCTCACACCGCTCCATTTATATATACAAAAGGAGGCAGCTTCAAGTGCCTTATTACTGAAAATAGTTTCTTCACTCAAGCTGAAGCAGGGCAACCTCAGAGGACACCTCGAAATCCTCAAGGACCCATGTCTAAATCACCTGATTGAAATTAAAACGGACCTTATACCGACAGAATACAATTTCAACCAGCCGTATAAGGTCATATTTAGAAGCAGGGATGATTGGGCGAAGGGAGGGCCTCAACTAAAAAGAGGAGCCCTGCCTGGTGCACCGATGCTTCAAAGACAGTTAGTTTGGGAGTAGGTATGGGCATCAGTGGATGAAACAGCCACTCAGCTCGGACTTAACAATTTTCCAAGCAGAAGTTCTTGCTATAAACTTCTGCACCGCTTTGAACCTACAGAAGGGACAAAAAGTTTTATCCATAAACATTTTCACAGACAGTCGGGCCGCCTTAAAGGCAATTCAGGCCTACACGTGTGACTCCACACTGATCAGAGAGTGTACCAGCAACCTGAGAGAACTCGCTAGGGACAATGGTGTTACCCTATGGTGGGTTCCAGGTCACAGCAACATTGAGGGCAATGAGAAGGCGGACAGGCTGGCCAAAGAAGCAGCGATCACGCCCTTCATTATGTCAAACCTCTGGAGAGGGACATAAGAAAAAAACCAAAAAAACTTTTGGCGTTTTGTTAACATGAGCAGAAACAATATAAGATCTCCAGGCTCTCTCAAGTGGGCCGATGAACGTGTGTCCGATTTGCCAAACAGTAGTTAACTTATTTGCCAATCATTTTGAGGCTATGCACTGTCCTGCATCATTTGGACCTACTGGTAACGATCACGCTGTTTATGATACTAATTCTATCACCTTTGGTATCTCCGAAGTCAGTTGCGACGAAGTGGTTGAATCTTTCAAAAAATTCCAGGCAAAGACTACAATGGGCCCAGATGAGATTCCTGCATTTTTAGTCAAGGACTGCGCCCCTGCACTCTTACATATTTTTAACCTAATAATCAAAAACTCTTAATTTGATTTGAGCGATGTTCACAACTTTGAGATTTTTTTACGCCCTTATGAAAACACCCCCCCGTAAATTTTTGTTGAGTTGCAGAAATTGGTCATTTTTCGATTTTGGTCGAACAGTATACGCGCAAGTGTTGTTCACAACTTTGGGATTTTTTACACCCTTAAATGAAAACACTTTCCCATAAATTTTTGTATAGGGAATGTTCTAAGAGTGCTAAACTCAAATATAAATTTTAATTTTAACGTTTTGAGTTGCAAAAATCGGTCATTTTTCGATTTTAAAATCTATGGCTAACTTCACAACCGTCAATATTAATAAATTCAGTTAGCAATAAATAATTTAATTAATTTTAGGTGATTGTTATAACAATAAAACCTCGTTTAAAAGTACTTTACACACAACAACTTCAAAGAGCCCCAACGTCACTTCCACTTTTATCATGGCAATTAGTTCCGGTTGGAAAATCGATCCAACCTGTGTTAGCTTGGGGTAGAGGAACAGATTTGAATTATACTCGAGTTGTTTTTGGTGGGATGAACAGTAATCGAATTCGATTATCTCCACTGAGACAAGTTCAATTACCTTATAATTTATCTGCAATGCATTGGTTAGGACCTAGGCATTTAGCTTTATTAGATACGAGTGAAAATCTTCGCTTAGTCGAAGTAAGAACACAAAAAGAATTGGAAGTTCTTGATTTAACAAATGCGGGGCTCGTTTATAGCTCCGCTCATTTTAAAGCGTTAGCAATTGGGGGTGGGGTAAGCGAAGCATTCGCTTTGGCCGGAGAAAGAGCCTGTTATAATAGTTTATCAAGTCGCGGGGATCAACTGTTAGTTTTAGGGACAAGAAATGTACATTTAGTAAAGTTGAGAACGTGGCACGAACGCCTGGTTTATTTAAGTGATCAAGGAAGGTGGGCTGAAGCTTTGAACTTGGCTGCTGAGGAGGGATTACACCGAGAAAAAAGTACAACAACTTTATTGGAAAGTTATTTAATGAATTTAAATGATCACCACGTCGATAGGGAAAGCTTAACAGCTGCTGTAAATTGTTGTGTGAAATTAAAGAAAATGTGAGCTTATTTAGCTTTATAAAAAAAATTTGTTTATAATTATTTTATTTTTTAGAAATTTATTATGCAATGAATTATGGGATTCAATATCATTAGACCATAACAATCAAGACTGGTTCTTCTCCCTCCTCGCAGATCACATCCAAAACAACAACATCGCCTTCCTCTCACCAGCGGTAACCCAAGCCCTCATAAATCATTTTGAATCAAAAGATATACACCTCCTAGAAACCATAGTCCTCACCTTAGACCTAAGTTGTCTCGATCTCCATCAAGTCCTAAGAATATGCAAAGAAAAACGTCTCTACAACGCGTGGATTCATGTAACAACCCGAACAATAGGCGATTACACAAATGCTTTAACCGAGTTCTTGTTGGATTTAACTCCAGATAATCACAAACTCGGAAACGTCATGTTAGTGTATGTATCGTCGTGTTTAACCGGATTAGGATACCCAAAAGGAAAAATACCTGCGGAAGACGTCACAAGAGTCAAATCGGACGTTTTAAGATGTTTGGAAGCGGTTCATTCGGTTAATGCAACACCGGAAGAATCTCCATATCCATATTTGAGGGTTTTAATGAAATATAATACACGGGAATGTTTGAATGTTATTGAAATTGCGTTTAAAGAGGTGGAGTTCGCTGGGGAAATGGGAATGTTGCAGAGGCAGAGATTAGTACAAATTTTATTGTGGGTTGTTACACCAAGTGATTTTGAGGTAAAGTTCATTAACTTATCTACAATTTTATATATACAGGGTTTCCCAAAAGTAACGGATAAATTGGATAAAACAATTAAGAACAGTTTATGGAAAAATCGCTGAAACGGGTCTAAAGATTTAAATTTTTTGCAATTGTTTAGTATAGATTTTAAATTTTTTCCGCCATTTTTAAATGAGTAATGACGGATTTTTTTCAAATAGCAATAACCCATTTCTATTACGGAATATGAAAGAGGACTTTTTTCTGAATCTAGTACAGTCAATATTAATATTGGTTACATAAGAACATTTTAGAGAAAAATTATGTTAAAGTTTCATGATTTTCCATTGATTTAAGATAGCAAAATAGCAGTAGCTATGCGTAATCATGTCGACCAACTGTTTCAGATATCAAAAATTAATCATTGTCTTAATAAAACAAATAAAATAAGTGGTTGGCATGGTTACGCATGGCTACTGCTACTTTTCTACCTCAATTGAATGGAAAATCATGAAACTTTAAGGCAATTTTCCTTGTGCAACTAATATTAATTTTGGCTGTACCAAATTCAGAATAAAATCCTCTTTCATATTCTGTAATAAAAATGGTGGATTGCTATTTAAATAAAATAGCGATGACGTCATAACTAGCTTAAAAATGGCGGAAAAAATTTAAAATCTATACCAAAAAATTGCAAAAAAATTTAATCCTCAGATCCGTCTCAGCGATTTTTCTATAAACCATTTTTAATTGTTTTAACGAATTTATCCGTTACTTTCGGGAAACACTGTATACAGGTGTTTCTAAATTGATGCGAAAGATTTCAAGGGGTGATTTTCAGCGAAAATTAACTAATTATTAAATAACTTTTTGCTCAAAACCCTGTCTCCTCCAAGTTATAGCCCTCTAAAGTTAAGGGAAAAAATTTGCAACTTTCTTATCTCTTAACATTTTACAACTAACAAATTGTTAGTTTGATCACAAAAAACAAAATAATGCCGAGATCAATTTGACATAATTAAATTTTTTTGACTAATTAATTCACTTGAGCCTGTGTATTATTTTATTTTTTTGTGGTCAAACTAACAATTTTAGGAGAAAATGTCAAGAGATAAAGAAGTTGCGTATTGAATCCCTCTATTTAAATCAAGTTTTTAAATAGAAAAATGTAGACGCATTAAAAAGTTCTAATGCTATTATCTATCTAATGCTATTATAGGGGTTGATTTTTCACCCCTTTGTAATAACATTTTAGAGTTATAAAAAGTGTCATTTTATTAGCAACAGTTATCTGCCAAATTTCATTTTTCTAAATTTCTCCCTAACTTTAGAGTGTAGAGTGCTGTAACTCGGTGGGGAAGGAGTTTTGAACAAAAAGTTATATGTAAGATCCCCATATTTCGCATCAATTTAGAAACAGCCTGTATATAAGTGTTTTTATTGTTATCTAAAAGTTTACAATTTTCTGTACAATACATGACAAACCAAACTTAACTTTCCGTCCTCCGTTCCCTCGCCCCAACCACCACCCTCATCCATCCCCTGCCTTCTCCCTCCCTCTTCCAGAATCTGCCAGCGGTTCCTTTCTTGTTCTCTCAGCTCACTACATTCCCTCAACCTATGTTCTAGCGTCTCCCAATCCTCTCCGCACAGCCGACACAACCTCTCCACATCGTCTGCCCAGTACCTGTTTGCTCTCTCCTCATTACCATACCAAAATCTGGCCACCAACCTCATCCCTTCCTCACTCCCCTCCTTCACCAAGTATTTTGGAAGCCCTTCCGTCATTATGTTCCCATATCTTCCTTTCCCGCTATGCGTGTGATATATGAAGGATTTATTTATGTCCGAGGTGTCGTATGGATGTGGCCTATGGGGTTATAGGGTGTGTAACAGCCATTTCCGTTGAAAATTGCTCGCGATCCAGCGGATGGTCTTGCTTGCTATGGTTTCGGCGTGTAATGATGCGTTGTAAATACTGACTGGGCAGATTCGATGGATTTGGCTGTTGTTCGTGTGTATTTGCGGTTCTGGTCCAGAAGGAGTAAAAGTAGGATGTTGTGCGGGATTGAGGGAAGGACGGGAGTGTTGTCTGGATTAAAAAAGAAAAGGGTCAAAGAACTGACAGTGATAGTTAGGGAAGACCAATAGAATGTCTCAGATAGGGGTCGGGTGGCATATGATTTTGTTAAGAATGTTAAAGAGATCCAGAAGCCGTGGTTCAAACCTAGCGTGACTTTAAGTTTTGTTTTAATGGGCCATGGATCTGTGAGAGCGAAGTTGTTTCAATTGGGTTCGGAAGAGTCTGATTGATGTGTTTGGGGGAAAAGGAATATTTGAACCATTTGTTGAAGGTGTGTGTGTTGTATGATGGGTGTAGGCGTGATTTTATGGAAAGAATGGGGATGAACGAGATGGAGGACATGGATTGGGAAAGGGTGATGGAGGAGGAAGAGGTTGTTTGCGGAAAGGAGGCGGATTATAGCATGACAATGCATGTAAACCTAAAAGAAAAAAGAGAGAACCTTACGGTGACGTCAGTAATGTCTGGACCCCTGCAATGTAATCTTGTCAAATTTTGGAATGCTTTACTTTATATACTTACTTATGGGGCTGTGAAGTGTTGAGTACTGTATCCTCTGGTGGTCTTGTACTGCTGCTAACCTAAAAAGAAAGAAAAGAGCATTAGAGGGGTTCTAGTTTTGTAGTTTTACCCTAAATGTTTTCTAGTCTAAATGTGATATATGTACAATTTTAGCTTTATTCGTACTATTATGGTTTTAAGGTGAGTGTGAGTGTAGCTGAATGTGAGTTTGTTTGGTCTTTTGTTTCCCTCTTCCACATTCCTTGGTTCACTACCACATAATCTATCACGGACGCCTCCCTTGGACCCGTATGAGTATATTCTCCTTCCTTCCTATTCCCATTCAGTATCTCCTATCCCCTCTCCTCCGCCCACCTCAGTATCTTTCTTCCTTCTCCATTCAGTGTCTTACCCTTAGACCGTTACCCCTTTCCCTTCCCCCACATCTCTCCTCTTCTCCTTTCTTCCCCTATTCTTGCATTAAAGTCCCTCCAATAATCAGACATCCCTCCACCCCTCCTCTGTCATCTCTTACCATTGCCTTATTGTCTCTTTCATTGCCCTACTATATACCGTGACTATCTGCACCTTCTTTCTCTCCTGCTTGATTTGCCTCTTTACAATCCCCTTCTGCCTCCATTTCCTGTTCCGTCTTACTCTCCTCCATAATTCCCCTTTCTATTCCTATAATACTTCCGCATGCTTTTCCTCTCTTACTTCTCCTCTCTGCAAATACGAAATCCCATCTATACTCTTCTGGCATCTTTGCCCACCCTCCTTCATCAACCCAGCTCTTCACCAAACAAATCACCTCAAATCCCTTCAAATATTCACCTGTAAAACCTCTTCACGTCTATGAAATCATCAATTTTGAATGAGGACAACCCAATGTATACCCTTCCAAACCCTGTAATCTCCCTAACACTTCCATGACATAATTTACTACCCCGTTTCCCTTCTGCCAAACTTGAATAATATTTTGACTTGCTTTCTGAAGTCATCCCAACTTATCCCAACCCCTCTACAATTTAATATAATTTTCTCTTTCTTTATTTTTAGATTGTTCAAATAGTGAATTTATCGTGTTTTATCGTCCGCTTAGTAACATCAAATAATCTTCGTTTAGATGAAGCAATTTTAGAATCGGTAGTGAAATCATTAACTGACGCCAAAGCAAAAGATTTAACATTAAGGGATCACGCCGAACGAGAACAAGCTTGGCTTGATTTGCTCGATTCGAATAAATTACCATCGGATAATGCGAAGGAATTGTTGGAACGCGCCTTAAATTCCCAATGCTATCGCGTAGCTGAGCGAATTTACGAGCAAGAAAAAAATTATTCTAATATTTTAGAGTGTTATTTAAAAGATGATGTGCGTAAAAACGAAGCGTTTAATTATGTCGTTTTGTTTATTGATGATGAAAAACGTGGTGTTGATAAACAATTTGTGAAAAATTTCCGGGATTTAGTGAATGTTGATTGTAAACGGACAGCTGAAATGGTTATTGAATATTTTTCTGATTCGATACAAACGTTTTATGAAATGTTAGAGGATGATGAAGATGATTTGTTTAAGTTTCTTGGTGAAATTGTTTATAGCGACGTTAAACTCTCACCGATTATAGCTGAAAAGTATTTAGAATTATTGTGTATCAAAAAACCTAATCATGCAATAAATTACGTTCGATTGGGATTATGTAGGGTTGAGGAAGCTCTTGAAATATGTGAAAAATATAATATTTACGGAGCCGTTGCGATTCTTTTAGAACAAATGGGAGAGTGGTCAAAATCTTTAAGTTTATTATTAGATAATAATATGGGTAATGAAGCGATTGAACTTTGTATAAGAGGAGCCGAACATTTAGATTCTCAAAATGCGCAAAGTTTATGGTTAGAAATTTTAAAAAATTCCAACGGAGATGGTTTAATGTCACCTCGACAATTATTACATGCGGCGGCACCTCATGTACCACCAGCCCAACTTTTAGAAATGGTTTCAGACGCTAGCTTTGGAGATATTAAAAAATTAATTGAAGGAATACTTTGTGATTATACCCATGATATTACCATGTTAAGTACAACTTTAAATTTATTAGGAAAAGATTTGCATCATGGTAAATAAAATAAATAATTATTTAATTTTGTATTAATTAATTTTTTTTGTAGGTTTAGCTAAATTATTATTTACAAGTGGAAAAGCCTTAACAGTTTCATCACCAAATTGTAATATTTGTCAAAAACCTCTTTTAAACGAAGACGAAAATGTTATTTTATACGGATGCGTACATGTTTTTCATATAAAATGTGTAAACACGGAATCGATGTGTCCATTTTGTAGAGTACCAGTTAGAGAGTTAACTACAAAGAAAAGAAAACCATATAGCGAAGTGTACAACCCTGAAAGATCGAATGTTAGACCTGATTTAGAAGGTCACTTCTAATAATTCCTTTCTAGTCCGTCTATTAATTTATTTTCCCAAATTGAAAATTTCCTGCTATTTCGTGCTAGTAAATATATAATTTATTAATTAATTGTATAGATAAAGTTGAGAAAAAAACAGAAGAAAAAAGCTAGCACTTATGTGATATATTTATTTATAAATATTTTAAGGAAGTGTTTATATTCCGTTTATTTTTCGTTTTTTAATTTAGGAATATAATATATATTTAGTAGAATTTGTAATTTTGTCAGGAGGAGTAAAGAAAAATACAATTTTTAATACTTTAAATTCTTAGCTTTTTATTTTACTGTTAATAAAATTTATTTGAATAAAGTAAATATAAATTGAATAAATTAAAAATTACAACGAATTAAAATTTATGTGTCAGATAATAGGCTTTTTCTTCAAGAATTTGATGTTGGAAATAACGTTTTATAATGTTGAACATAATGGGTAAGACGTTCATCTAAAACAAATGTAATATTAATCAAATTCTTCATTTTTTAAGAATTTCAGAAAATTGATGAAGTTATAAGATTAACTAACCCAAGTGAAAACAAACTGAAATTTTTGTACAAATATTTCAGAGCTTTCTAGAATCGTTTACAATTATTTATTTATACATGGAGGTAGCGACAGGACAAGCTCTCACACCTGTACTACATATGTAATTTAACAAAAGGTACTATGTTACGACGGTATGTACAAAATCAAAACTAAACCTATCTGGGTACAAAACAGAGTATGGCGTTTCGAATAACACGTTTAAAATTGTTTGGCATGAGGGCAAGTATGTACAACCTAAGACGGTCTACTGCTCTTTGCATCCGCACGATTGGAAAATTCTTATAAGAACTAATTCGAGCTATTGGTAAACTTAATCAAATGAAATCGAATGGTATTGTATTTGGTCCCAAGAAACAAAAACAAATAGTCTCAAAAGAACTACGCATTATAGTGAAAATGAAATCTTGCCAATTCAGAAATCAGTTAAAAATTTGAGTATTGTGATGTATGAAAATTTGAGTTTCAATCAACATATTATAACAATTGCATTCAGAACGCTTATAACAGTTTAAGAATTATTTATAGCAATAGAGCCTTTACTGTCCATATTTAACTACGGTGATGCTGGTTTATTTTATTTTCTTTTCGAGAACTATAACTACCAGTAAAATGAAATTTGGGGAAGAAATTGACGAGTTGCCAACATACAATGCAATAATTAAGGTGGGAGTAAACTATACAGCTTTGACAATTTAAGTATTTAGCACTCTCCAAAGTCTGGCGACTAAGAAGGAAAACGAAGATAGTTTATTAGATAGTACTATTATGTGATCATTTCAGCAACCAACCGAATACTGAGAATCCACAGATCCAACAGATTACCCCTCAAATCTGCCCAACACACTAAAATCTAGTTTATTAAATTTGCTGGAAAAATTCATTAGCTACGTTTTGCTACAGTTTAGTATTAATCCGTTAGCTTCGCACCAATCTAACATTTCATTCGCTGCGCTAGGGATCCTCATTGACAACTGCTGGACTGTGAATCTGAACTTGCCTACAATTTTCACAAGATAATATCTTTATATCATTTATGTACATACAAGATAAACTGCAATGGTGTCAATATGCTTTCTTGCAAGACTCCATATCTTATAGGGAGATGAACTCACTGTACTATTGTTTTGTGACCACTTTACTTGTTGTCTGTCACTCAGGTAACTTTGAATCCAGGTCAAGGCAGGGCCTCTGCCTGCCGTATTTAATTTTTGGAAAAGTAGTTGGTGATGTAATGTGTCGAATGCCCTAGATAAGTCAAAAAACAAACCACAGCAGGCAAAACGAGCATCGAGACCCTTTACAACCGATGTGTAGAAATCCAAAACGGCGTGCTGCGTTGACTAATTAGTCCTGAAGGCAAATTGTTGATTGTTAATTAAGTTACACTTACTCACAAACTCATCTAGCGGTTTAAAAAACTCTCTCTCGAAAATTTTAAATATGGCAGGAAGAACGGTTTCAGATAGGAAGCAAAAGCTTCCCCTGAATACCAAACTTCATTAGTTTCAACAGAACTAAGTTGTGATTCACCCGGTCAAAAGCTTTACTAAAATCCGCATAAACCGAATCAACTTGACAAGAATCATCCAGAGAAGATAAGGTATATTGAAGCAACTTACTCTCAACTGAGGAACCAGCAAAAAAAACATGTTGTCTACAATTGATTTTAGACTTAAGGGCAAACAATAGACATGCTTGAACTACTTTCTCAACACTTTCAAATTTGCGATTTTTTTTTTTAACGCAATGTATTAATTGTTTCCTAAGTGAACCATGTAGGGTAATTTTTATTAAGTAGTTTCTTGCGCGAAACAAACCTCTCAATAACCTCATTAAAATAAGTATAAAAGGTAATCTTAAATTATAATTACATCAATTAAATCATTCAACGTAAAATTGTTAGAAATGTGATAAAACCACTGAAATCATCTTCATTCGATAAAAATTTGCCAAGAAAATCGATGACAATAGTTCATAATAAACACCAATCGATCAAATTCGTTCTAAATCTAAAAAATAATATGTACCTTTTAACCAAATTGAAGCAAATTGTGGATTAGATTTAAAATAAAATAATACACTATGAAATAAAGCGGGATCTTTCGATTCTTCAGCAGCCTCTAAAAATTTCCGCGAATTCAAATTTTCCGGAGATAATTTCAAAGCTGCAATAACCTGATTTTGACTCAATAAAATTTCTTGAATTTCTTCAAACGCACCTACAAAAAAAACGACTCAAACATTCAAAAATAAATAATTTTAAAAGCCGAACCTAGCCTAGATAACATATCCAAAGCTAATTGTGCAGCTGATTGATGCATATTTCCCAAAGATAACAATAAACAAGCCAAGGGTTTCGAATCACCAATAACCCCATATTGTAACATTTGTTGTAAAGCGCTAAATCGATTCCTACGAACCTAAATTTAAATAAATCAAAAAACGTTTTTGGGGAAACAAAATAAATTCTTACTAAAGTTGTTACTAAAAGTTCGTTTAAGTTATGTTGTGATGTAATTCCATGTTCATGCAAACTGGTTAAATAAGCTACTAAAACCCATTCTAATTTTTGTGATTCACTCTCTGTATCCAACTTTTGAAAAACATTCCTAAACATATCGTCTTGATCTATTAAAACTGAAGGTGACAAATAAGATTTTGGGGGAAGTGGAGTCCCAACTGGGGCTCCTGTTTGTAATTGAAGCTCATCTTCAACCCAATTTCGATAAATTTTATTAATATGATTAAATGATTCGCGAAGTTTCTTTATTGGGGGTTTATCTTTTTTTGTATTTTCTAAAATTAACTAAAAAAAAATAATGTTCTTAAACAATTCTTTTCGTTTTGATAAAAAATTTACAGATAAAAGCACACTTTTAGCTCCTTTACGTTTTAAAGCGACTTGTGTACATAAAGCCAAATCACTTATTTGTTTTAATAAATCTTCTAAATTCAATATAATATACCATAAACATCCCAATTTAGCATCTATAACTATATTAGGTTGAAAAACAACCCAATTTGGCGAATCTATGAATAATTTAAGTAAAAAAAATTCATTTGATACATTTTTAATTATTAAATTAAATGTAAAAGGATACACATTTCACAAGCGTGTGTTTGTGGTTCAACCAATCCAGGTAGTTCTAAATAAGCCGGTTTAATTGATAACGAAGGCCCCACTGCACTATGATAGGTAACAACACCATCATTTTCAGCACTAACGCAAATATCAAAAATTTGAGACGTTTTGGAAGCCTAAAAAAGAAAATATTTAGCAACATTCAATTTTAGATTGAAATTTTTAACCTGATGATGAACAATTACAAGATTATCAACAACATTAATCGCAAAGCGTCCTTGTAATCCCAATCTTAAAACGTGGGACTTAATAGGAGCTTGTCCAGGTCCACTTAATGAGTGAATATGTACCTCAACAGTCTGTGGACTACTATAATGTCTAACGATTAAAACACATGGTATTCTGTATAAAGTAGCAATTGTTACATCTCTTTCTAAAGCCATACGACCCAATTCAGCTTAAAAGAATAAAATTGAATTTTTTAAAACCCATCAATTAATAACTTACTATCCACTTTTGGTAATTTGCTGACCGAACCAGGTTTAAAAATAACTGGAAGTAAGTTTGAACCGTGTGCAGAAGCTAAAAGTGCTATTTTATTTGTAGGGCACCACACGAACCATTGAACAGTGGCGGAAATTGATTTTAAATGTTTCAAGCTACGTTTTTCTGGTATAACCATGTAAAGTTCAACACCATGATCAGTAATTAAAGCTACTTCGTTTACATGAGACCAAACAAAACCTAACACAGTCGAATTACGTTTACAAGTTTGAGAATATTCAGTTTCAATATCATTCCCATTAAAGTTCATGAATTCTACTGAACAAATGGTTCTTTGAACAGCAAGTACTTTTTGGTCTAACGAAAACTTTATTGATATTACTGGACCGTGGTCTTCCATACGGAAATTTAAGGGACGTTCGGTTTCTATAGGGCCTTTTACAACAACTCCCATTACCCCACTTGAACGAACCGCAAAAACCTAATTAAAAAAAAAAAAATAAGTAAATTCAAAAATGTAACATAACCTAACATTTAATTCATTAAATCTTACCTGCTTTTTAGAGTCATCGAAAAATACATTAGTCATTTGATTAACAGCTTCAAATCGTACAGGATTTGGAGACAACTCCAAATAAGGTTTATCGTTTTTATTCATTTCTTTTTTAATTAATGTTTATTAACCTAACCTAACTTATTTGACGTTTACTTGAAATCTAAAAATGATCCCAACATCTATATTTAAGCAGCATTTCTAATTGGTTGAGAAATCGCTCCATCTTTATTTTCGACATTTTCTATCGCAGACTAATCGTAAGATACATATTTATTAAAATCTATTAAATTAACCTATTAATTTTAATGACAATTTTGAATAGGTGATCTAATCCATATTTGGAATTAATTTTTTTGTACAAAACAATTATTACGTCATAAAGATGTTATCATGACGAAAATCGTATGTAGTTTATCAAAATATATAAAACTCGCATTCGAAACCAGTAAATGGTCACATTGAAAACGTTACAAATCATCAAACTTCACATTGCATTTATTTGTGGTTTAACTTTCTTGGGGTTATTCTACATAAGCATCATGTCTACGGACGAACGTTGTATTTTCTGCAAAATCTGCGCGCATAAAGAAGAAGCGGCAATTTTATATGAAGATGGAGAATTCATTGTGTTCAAAGATATCAAACCAGCCACTGAACATCACTATTTAGTAATTCCTAAAATTCATATTAAAGGAGCTAATGTTTTAACTAAAGAGCATTTGCCGATGTGTAAGTTAACTTCATTTAACTTTAATTTGTAGTGTTTGTTTGTTATTTTTCTTTGTAGTGGAAAAAATGGAACATTTAGCAAAACAAATTTTACAAGAACAAGGAGCTTCCTTAGACGATATCCGTTTGGGCTTCCATTGGCCACCTTTTAACAGCATTAACCATTTACATTTACATGCAATGGGACCTGCTAAAAATATGGGAATTATATCAAAGTCAATATTTAAACCTGATTCATTTTGGTTTGTTACTGTATGTATTACTTGTTGATAATTTTTTTAAATTTGCTAATATTTTATTCCTTTTTTAGCTGGATTATATGTACATTAGACTTAACAAACTCTAATTATTGTTGTTGCACTAACTTTTAGATAATTGTATTACTCACAAGTTTAAATTTTAGAAATTGATGGTTTTTTGGTTGTGATACTAAATAATTTTTTATTGTTTGTTTTTATTAATGGTTATATACAGTGCCGCACTTAATTATTGGCACAGCAATAGTTTTTCATTTCACGACTGTTTTTAAACCAAATTAACAAATGGTATTATGTGAAAGTATCTTTTCTATATTGTTTAATTAATTAAATACTCTATGCAGTTATTTTTGTATAAAAATTTATTTTTAATAATCTGTTTTAAATTAAATTAACAAAATAGTGCTTATTTTCAACGCACAAAATTATTGGCACAGTTAAAAAACAACTGTTTTAAAACTGCCTTAAACTAAATTAGTATTTTGTAGGTAACCCTTTTTGTTTGATAACGGCCTCCAAACGCCTTGGCATGGAGTGAATCAAATTTTGGGTTGTTTTCTGCTCAATATTGTACCACTCCTCTAACAATGCCTGTTTCAGCTCCAACCTGTTAGTAATTGGAAGCTTTTTGACCCGTCTATCCAATTCCTCCCACAAATGTTCAATCGGATTAAGATCTGGAGACTGCGGTGGGTGTGGTAAGACATGTGGGGTATTATATGCCAGCCACATACGCACGATATGAGCCGAATGCTTTGGGTCATTATCGTGTTGAAATGTGTACGTGGGCGACAAATTTAACTTTTTGATACTTTTATGGAGGTTTTCTTTTAAAATATTTAAATAAACTGACTTATCCATAATACCGTCTATAAATACTAACTCGCCTACCCCTGCAGCTGACATGCAGCCCCACACCATCACCCCTCCTCCACCATGTTTCACTGTTGGTGCAAGGTTTTCTTTATCAAACGCTGTATTGGCTCTTCTCCATACTTTAATACGACCATCAGATCGGAAAATGTTGAACTTACTCTCATCTGAGAATAGTACTTGATCCCAGAATGTATTTGGTTTATTCTTATATTCCTTTGCGTACGCCAGGCGCTTCTTTTGGTTACGTACAGATATTAGTGGCTTTCGCCTCGCAACACGCGCACTATAACCAGCCTCGTGTAGTACTCTTCTGACGGTTATGGGATGAATATCTTTACCAAAATCTTGTTTTACTTCAGTAGCAATCTGTGTTGACGTTATTTTTGGATCTGCTTTGACTTTTCGGATAATCTGCTTGCGTTCCCGATCGTTTAATGTTCGGGGACGGCCAGTACGCTTAATACTTTTGAAATTTGATGCTTTTTTAAATCGGTCAATAACACTGCGAATAGTATATCGGCTTCTGTTCGTTATTTCCCCAATTTCAGTATACGATCTGCCTTGGTTGTGCAAATGAAGAATTATTTTGCGCTCTGATTCTGTTGTTTCTTTCTGTTTTCGACCCATTTTCATATTTAACTAATACTTTAGTTGATAAAGACAAGATGGAATTCGATTTAAAAATTAAATTAACTGTCAATAGGGGGAAATACGAACACACAGTTAGGATATTTGACATTTCGGCTAAGCATATAATGTACGTTTGTACCAATTGTTAAGTGTGCCAATAATTTTGTGCGTTGTAAATAAATACTATTTTGTTAATTTAATTTAAAACAGATTATTAAAAATAAATTTTTATACAAAAATAACTGCATAAGGTATTTAATCAATTAAACAATATAGGATAAATACTTTCACCTAATACCATTTGTTAATTTGGTTTAAAAACAGCCATAAAACGAAAAACGATTGCTGTGCCAATAATTAAGTGTGGCACTGTACAAAATTTTAACTAATAAATCAATAATGAAGGCCCCACTGCACTATGATATGTAACAACACCATCATTTCTCCACTAACACAAATATAAAAAAATTGAGGGGTTTTGAAAGCCTAAAAAAGGAAAATATTCATCAACAGTCAATTTTAAATTATAATTTTTAATCTGCTGATGAATGTCATACACACTAATTAAATTTACAGAAAATTTTTACGTAAAACGATATATGCAAGTATATGTATGAACACAAAGTAAAAGAAATATTTTGATAAATTTTATATTTTGCGTAATTTGAAGTGAAAAAACGAAATCCAATTCAAACGAAATAATTTCGCGGTTTTTCTGTGTCGTAGGAAGTGCATAGTCTCAACAACTTAAATTGTCCGTTAGATGGCGCTCGCGGTATGACAGTTTCAAAACAAAACCATGGATGTAATAGAGAGTCTCTATTGCAACCATGAACAAAACATAATAAACATAACCTATAAATACTCTATCTCTTTTCAATCTAACCTACCTAAATAACGTTCATCTCTTTCTCGCATTTGAGCGGCGAGTACGGGACGCAAAGGTGATACTCGTACGTCATCCAATGCGGGAATTTTAAAAACGTAAATGGGTATATAAATTTTTAAAAATTTTTTTGAAAATGATTTTGTTCGAAAATATTCCAAAAAAAAAATACTGGCAATTATATTTTTATACAAATATTCAGAAAATATAATAAAAAAAAATGGTGTATGATTACAAGATTATCAACAACGCAAAGTTTCGTTTGAATTATAGTTACTTTATATTATTAGAGGTTGGTAACAGGAGAGCTCACTCATTCTCCTGTTACCAACCTCTAATAATAATATAATATAAAATATAAGAACAAGGTTACGCACATTTAAGACTAAGTATTAAACAGTTTCTATAGGGACTTTTACAACAACACCCATTACCCCACTTGAACGAACCGCAAAAACCTAATTAAAAAAAAAAAAAACAGGTTGGGGTGTAAATTCAAAAATCTAACATAACCTAACATTTAATTCATTAAATCTTACCTATTTTTTAGAGTCATCGAAAAATACATTAGTCATTTGATTAACAGCTTCAAATCACACAGGATTTGAAGACAATTCCAAATAAGGTTTATCGTTCTTATTCATTTCTTTTTAATTAATGTTTATTATCCTAACCTAACTTATTTTACTGACGTTTACTCCGTTTACTTGAAATCTAAAAATGATTCCAACATCTATAGTTAAACAACATTTTTAATTGGTTGAGAAATCGCTCCATCTTTATTTTCGATATTTTATATCGCATACTAGTCGTAAGATACATATTTACTAAAATCTATTAAACTAACCTATTAATTTTAATGACAATTTTGAATAGGTGATCTAATCCCAAGGTTTATATATAAGAGGTTGTCTAGGTTCGTACGCATCCATACTGCGCATTACGTCACATGTGGAAAATAATACCGCCAAGCAATTCAAATTAAACAAATGCACGGAGCACCACATGGCCATGAGGTTGCGTGCGCAATCCGTGATCGCTTACGTCACGAAACACTCCTGCTCTTGCCCCTCGCCCACAAACTAAAATCAAAGTACTGCAGCATAGGAACTTAGACAACCTCTTATATATAAACCTTGATCTAATCCATATTCGGAAATAATTTTTTGTACAAAATAATTATTGCATCATAAAGATGTTATCATGACGAAAATCGTATGTAGTTTTTCAAAATATATAAAACTCGCGTTTGAAACCAGTAAATGGTCACATTGCAAATGTTACAAATCATCAAACTTCATATTGCGTTTATTTGTGGTTTAGCTTTCCTAGGGTTATTCTATGTGAGAATCATTTCTACAGACGAACGTTGTATTTTCTGCAAAATCTGTGCGCATAAAGCAGAAGCGGAAATTTTATATGAAGATGGAGAATTCATTGTGTTCAAAGATATCAAACCATCCGCTGAACATCACTATTTAGTAATTCCTAAAATTCATATTAGAGGGGCTAATGTTTTAAGTAAAGAGCATTTGCCGATGTGTAAGTTAACTAGTTTTAACTTTAATTTGTAGTGTTTGTTTGCTATTTTTCTTTGTAGTAGAAAAAATGGAACATTTAGCAAAACAAATTTTACAAGAACAAGGAGCTTCCTTAGACGATATCCGTTTGGGCTTCCATTGGCCACCTTTTAACAGCATTAATCATTTACATTTACATGCAATGGGACCTGTTAAAAATATGAGAATTATATCAAAGTCAATATATAAACCTGATTCATTTTGGTTTGTTACCGTATGTATATTTGTTGGTAATTTTTGAAAATTGCTAATATTTTATTCCTTTTTTAGCTGGATTATATGTACAATAGACTTAACAAACTCTAATTATTCTTGTTGTACTAACTTTTAGATAATTATATACTGACGTTTTTAAATTTTAGAAATTGATGGTTTTTTGATTGTGATACTACATAATTGTTTGTTTTTATTAATGGTTATATAAAAAATGTAACTAATAAATCAAGGGTAAATAAGGTTGTATTAATTAATATATTAAATTCCTTAATTAGAATTAAAAAGAAAATTGAGGTATATATATGTAATTTGGGTTGCATAATACAAATTAAAATGAAATGGATTTTAATATTTTCGTGAAATTTATTGCACCGAAAAGCAAATATTAAATATTTTGAATTATTAAATGAATATTTTATTTTAATTGTATATTATTGTACTCGTAATGGAAATTTTTAGGCATTTTATTAAAGTTTTAGTAAGAAAATTTAGTTGGTAACAATTCTTTTGACACTGTCTTCAGTGACATTGAACGTCAAAACAAAAAACACCCATCGCTTCGCGTATAATTTAATATTAGCAATATCTCGGTGACGTTTCGAAACGCGTTTAAGCTTAACGTTACGTTATCCTTATAGAGTTTTTCCGTTCTAATCCAACCGCTTTGTCTCAAAAAAAACTCTAATAAACTAAATTTTTTTCTGCAATGACTTAATCGTCATTTAAACGCAACGATGGATAATAACAAATTGAGCCCAATGAAAACCCAACCAGGTACTTATAAAGTTTTAAATTAAATACCCCATTCTTATCTAACCCCCCCAGATTTATCAATATCTTATCATGTTTTCTTTCATTAATTCGTAGATCCTGAGGAACCGTACCCAAGTTTATCAGATTATCATGATTACGAACCAAATCTTGAATTCGACGACACCGAACTTTTGCAAGCTCCAAATGAAATGGATAATGGGGAGTTATTAATTGATTTCATGGAGAACGAATCGAACGGAATGGGTTCGCCTGTTTCTGATTTTACTGATGAAAATTATGATGAACTTCTCAATGGTCCAGCTAGTTTCAGTTTTGGTACGGATACTTATCCAGAAGTTGGTGGAGTAAGCTTTAGTGATATCGCCAAATATGGAATTGTTGATGTTAAGGGTGATGATGCAGATGGACGTAAAGTTATTGTTGTTTATGCTTGTAAATTACCTCCTACTAATATGATCGACCACAACTGTTTATTAGAGTAAGTATGTTTTTAAATTTGTATTTATTAAATTTTGAAAATAGAAGATCTTTTGATCTTTAAGAAGATCAATGATTAATAAAGACTGAGTTAGTCATAATCTTATCAATTGCGGTTACTCATTTCAGTTTTATACAAATAAATATGAAATTTGATTAGTAATAAGACAAATTTTATTAAAAAAATTAAAATTTAATCTTATCAGTGTTTGTGTGAATTCTAGGAAATGCAATTAAATAAAAAAAGAACTTTTTGAATTGGTTAATTACAAATACAAGTAGTTATGTAAATAAAATTATATTGAGTAAAAAAAAGCGGAAGTATTTCTATTGGTATGTTGTTTGCATACAAACTACATGTAGGTGTGGTGTTGCATAATGATGAAAGTACCTAAGAACATGGTGACATTGCGTATTATTCAAATTAACCAAGCCAGGTGGTTTAAAACTAATTTATTAAGTGAATTTTAAATATATGGTTTAAGTTAATTACTTAGCAGAATCTAATCAAAAGAAGAAAATCAATGAATTTTATTAATTAACTCCCATTATTGTTTCTTTTTATATGCTGTAGTTACATCCTCTTCACTTTTTTTACATATACAAAGTAAATAAAGGGAATGTATTGTAATCATAATAATGATCTATATGTTTTGAAGATTCTTAAATTAATATCAACTATTTTTAATATCATGTATGTAAACATGATAACTCAAAAACCAATCAGATGTGGTGATAATATTTGCTATATAACTATAACACTAAAATAATAATAATAATACTTTATTGAACCAAGATATAAATATAGAAAAAACAACGAAATATCAATCAATTAACAAAAATGTAATTCAAGCTCAATGAGTGCAAGAGCAAGCATCATTAAGGTTGGCAAACACAAAATTGCTCATTACAAAAATGAACCCTACACCATTTCGCGTAAAACAATAAGTTGCACCTTGCAGAACCGGGAATCGAATTCTAAAAACGAGCAACCTGGTACGAAAATTAACACTGGAATTTGGAAAACTTATGAGAAAGAATGTTTAAACAAAATCTGTGCTGGAGATTGATGTTATGAACATCCACTCTGAACGTAATTTTACGACTGAGATAAGGCGGCTTACAGGAAGTACTTAATAGATTAAAATGAAAGACACGTAACGAACCGCAACTCTCTGTCGCATATTCAGTCAATCTCTAGAATCTAGTGACTAGATAATAAAACTTGCGAAGATTATACATAAAACGAAGACCCAAATTCTGCGCGACCTAAACCCTCCTTAAACTCTCATGGGATAAACATGAACCGAATGAGATCATAATAATTAAAGTAAAACAACATAAGAGAATTACAAAGGAGTCGTAAAAACGTAAAGTAGAGACTTCTTAGGAAACCATAAGCACACCTACATATGATAGTAAATTTGTATCATGTTCAGGTATAAATTTATCAACTTGAAGTGGCTCTTGACCTGAACACTTATCCAACCCCTCATACACTTTAACTAAAGGGACATTTCTAACATTTAGATATTTAAAATTTGAATCACATTGTATAACCGGAGATAGTGTACTTTTAACGGATTCGGCCACATTTTGAAATAACCTCAGATTTATAATAAATTTAATATTTCATTCTTCAATGGATTTATATAAAAATGCGAGAAAGCTGATTCTTGACAACTGCAGTTAATTCTCCTGATCTTTCTGAATTATGTTTATTACAAATATTTTCATTTCTTATACTCTTTCTGAATAAAAAATTCTTATAACACAATGTTCCATTCTTTGTCCTTCTTATGATATGATACGATAAAGTTCACAAGTTTGAATACTACTGGTTAATGAATTATACTAAGCAGGCTTTGCTTTGCAATTTGTTATTTGTTTCTAGTTTTGTAATTTTGTTGTTTTTAATACAATAAGCAAGTATATTTATTAAAACTTCTTCTAAAAAAATATCTCAAAAATGATTTTGACAAATTTATGTGTCAAATTAAAGCTATATACATAAGCAAAGCCTGCTTAGTATAATTCTTTATACAGCAGTACTTAAACTTTCAAACCCTTAACTTTATTGTATCATATCTTAAGAATAGTAAAGAATTGGACATTGTGTTATAAGAATTTTTTATACACAAAAAGGGGGCTTATAACCCCTCAAATTTTTTCTACTCATACCTGATACATCCTGTATAGTAAAGAAACGGTTGATCGCTTATTCGCCGTAAAAGTCTTCCCCATTATTGGATCTAATAGGACCATATCTTGGTTTAATACCGTAAGCTTGAGTAATCATTTCTAGATGTCTTTGAATCTTGTGATGCATTAGGTACATAATGGATTTAATTGTTCTCTACATATGAATTGACTGCAAGTCAGTGTGTAATAATTATGATGGATAAAGAATGTTGGGTAAGGTAGTTTTTTGGCAATGGATAACATTTTTCTGTAAATCGCATAGAGGAAGCTGTAATGATAGCTTCCTAAAGCAATTGATCTTAAGTAATTTATAGTGTACCACAAGGTTTTATGATGTTGTATTATCACAGTGTTGTTCAAAAAGTTTCCGTGTTTTTCTTTAGGCATTATGATTTTTTGTTTATTCTGATGATTTCATTGAACTCCTCATGTAATTTTGTCTCTATATATTGCGGAGCGTCTTCAGAGAGGTCGCCCAATCACCGCTACGACTTCAAAGAATGTGCAGAAGGGTTGTTGATGCGTTTATCGCTACCCGGAGCGTTCGATCAGGAAAATGGCAAGGAAATTTGGCGTCAGTATCACTTGGAACATCGTCAGAGGTAAAAAGCTAAAGGTTCAAAACTACAAGATCGGTTATCTCCACTTCCTCAACGATACATTGAAGTTGAAAGATTGGAAAGTGCTCGTTTATCAAAAGTTCTAATTACTGATGAGAAGATATGTACGATCGCGCCGCTCCGCAAGTATCAGAACCAACGTCAACTACTCAAAAAAGGTCAGCAGAAGACCGCTGCTGTAAAAATCAACGGTTACACTCAATTCCCTGCTTCTATGATGGTTTGAGAGGCGTCGCCGGGTCAACAATGATCGGAAAGTCAAGATCAACGCCGTCAGCTATCAAAAGCGAGTTTTACGAGACGTAAAGCCTGTAGAAACATCTAAAAAAAATACAAGAACTTTTTGAACACCTGTATGTGTGAAACAAAATACATGTCATTCAGCAGAGAACCGGTAAGATGTAAATTGGTAATTCAAGATAAAAGAGCAGATACCAGCAAAACAATAGTATATTAAAAAACAAGTTTCGTAAGACACGTTTGAAATGCACGAATTCAAGTTGAAGTTTTTTATCGAATGAGTGCTTTAAGTCTTATGAAACGTGTTTTTTATGCTATTTTTTGTATTTCGCGTTTTTATCCTATTTTTTTCTCTAAAATAAAATAAATTTTGACAATGTAGGGAAATAGGTATGTAGCAGTTGGTAACACCGTAACATTTGAAAATAGAAATTTGAATTGACAAAACACAAAGTGTATTCACCTGACAAAAATGTTTCATGTACACCTCCTAAATTATTTTTTCTTATAAGAAATTGCTCAGAGTTCAATGTCCTCATCATTGTGAACCTTGTATTCGATGCTAAGAACGTGTTTAAACATCCATAGACAAACATTGTCACATTGACAACTAGAATTAGATCTTAGAACCGTCGCGAATTACAAAAGAAGTATTACGAGAATAACAGAAATGAAAACACTAAAAGCTATAGCAGACAGAACTCTTCGAGATTGTGTAAGAAACGATGACATAAAACGCGTGAAATTCAAGACGTGATAAGATGGGGAAGAGAGCGTAGCAGGAGTTGATATGAACACGTAAATGGAATGGACACCAAACAGAATAGTCCGAATCGTACTGGAAGGAAAACCATAATGAAAATCCAGAAAACCACGAAATACGAGAAATGTCTGGTTTCAAAGGTTCGTTTGCGCGGCATACCTCTCCGAACAGGTTGATACTTGCACGCATTTTAGATGCGATATGTACAGCATAGGTGACTGTTGTCATTATGCTACAAGAAAGAGATTACCTGGAATACCTCTACTTGTATCTTCCAAAAGAAGAAACACTGTTTCTCGGAACAGTTCGAATGAATTGAAATCCCAATTGCCAACTACCTAAGAAAACCAAAATGAAAAGCGAGAAATTTGTTGAGAAAGTTGCAAACATTGAAGGCGTCGATGTAAATTATGTTGGCTGGTACGATAATAAATTCATGAGCAAATGTCTCTCGATCCGCCGCAGCTCTAATAAGCTCTTCAACGTTTAAACCTGTCCAATTCCTGATATTCCGCATCCATAAACCTTCTACCAAGTCCACATTTCCCCTCTATCTTTTCCTGAATTATAAGTTGCACCAATTTCCGTCCATCTTTAGAATTCTTCGGTACGTCCACATTTTAAATGCTTCTATACGATTCATACTGACAGTCTTCAGAGTCCAAGTTTCCGCTCTGCATAGCAGAGTTGACCAAGCATAACACTTTGTGAGTCTCAGCCGTATAGCGACATCCGTTCATACAATCGTTCATCGCACAGTACTTATTTAGGTGCAATGAAATTTTGCCTCACTTGCTCCACTCTAGAACTTACTTCAATGTCAATATCAAGTCTCGAGTCGATCCAGCACTCCAGGTATCTATTCAATCTCACTCTGCCTCACAGGTATGGTTACGTTTGAGTACCGGGATATTAGTATTACTTTCGTTTGGGTAGTCAACCAGTAAGTAAGAAAGTTTTCTAGATAAAGTAAGATTAGAATATACATAGAAGTATGCATAGAAGTATACAATAATATGGGTGGAGTCAACCTGGTAATAAGAAATTCAATATCAAATACTATTTCAACGCCTCGAATACGTCGAAGACCTAGCAGCTCATAATCGCAATTTGAATTATATGTATGATCTTTATAAGGTGTACCTATTTCAATGTCTCCGTCGCAATGCGTACCATATTTTGCACAAGCTTAAATTTGCATTGTTAGGTAAAAATTATGATATGTAGTAATTTTCTGGAGTTCTAATAGCGTTAAGTAACAACACTTTCCAGTCGATTACACCAACGTGAATTAACTGCAGAAGAAGTGCGCGCTTTTACAACGCTATTATTAGTGTTGGTTGAGAAAAATTTGAAATGCCTTAGGCGATAAATATATGATAATAAAAAGTATTTTTATGATAATATCGAAAGTATTTAGATGAAAATCATCGAAATCTTTAATTTTTGATTGTCAATTTATTTCTCAATTCTTCTTCTTCCTTTGGCTCTACAACCCTTGGTGGGTTTTAGCCTCCTCAACAATTCTACACCATCCCCATCTATTCCTAGCCACTCGCCACCAGTCTTTCACTCCCATCGCCCTCAAGTCATTCTTTACGTCAAAATTCATTCGAGTTTTCCATGTTCCATCTTGTTCTGGACCAAATCCTTCTCAGTATTCTTCTTTTGAACTTTTTTAGATATTGGTCTTATAAAACACGTATATATTCTTATTTTAGAGCTGTGACTTAGTATATTCGAACACGTCAGTTTCCTGTTTACGAAATAAGATTTACGGAAATTTCTCAATAGACTCTAAAAATTATCGTTCGTTTTACATAATTTATTTAAACCTACAACTCTATCTATAAACACATCCAAAAATCTTTTTTTGGCACCGATACGATAAAATGTGTCCTTGATTTAAATAAAACCGTTATTTCTCAATGTTTACAGACACATCTGTGATAAAATACGATAACAACATATGTTTAATTTACGTATTATTAAAACCGTGTAATATTTCCTTTTTACACGTATTATTACAGTCATTTTTACGATAACACTTTTTTTTTTATTGTCTTTTCGTTTTATTGTTAAGCAATAAATTATATAATTCCGAAGATCTCTATTATTTTAATTTCTTTTTTTTAGGTATTTAAAGGGAACATTAGATTTATACGTAGAACAAGATTACAGTTTAATTTACTTCCATTATGGCCTAACGAGCAAAAATAAGCCTTCCATAGCTTGGTTGTGGCAAGCCTATAAAGCGTTTGATCGCAAATACAAAAAGAATTTGAAAGCTTTGTATGTAGTCCACCCGACGAGCTTCCTCAAGATTATTTCACAAGTTTTCCGGCCGGTAATCAGCGTAAAATTCGGCAAGAAATTGAATTATATACACTCGTTGAAAGAATTAAGTGAACATATCAAACTCGAACAATTAGCTATTCCGGAAGAAATTAAAGAGTATGATAAAAAAATAATAAATAAAATAAGCAACAAAAATTATTAATTATTAATAATTCTTTTTAAGATTTGATAGAAAAACAACCGGGAAAAATAACACAACTGACGTTGATTCTAAAGGTATTGAGCCAATTGAATCAACGCGACAGTTTGGTGTTACATTACAATTTATAAAGAAGCATTATAATGAGGATATTCCGCCTGTTGTTAAAGAATGTGTTAAATATTTAGATAAACCTGATGGTAATTATTACCTTTCTTTGATATTGAGTTAATAATTGAATTTATTTTTTAGCCTTAGAAACCGAAGGATTATTTAGGAGATCTGCAAATTTAACGAAAGTAAAACAATTAGCGAGAGAAGCAAATAAAGGATCCCCATTAACTTTTGAATCTCCCCACGAAGCAGGAGCTTTATTAAAAAAGTTTTTACGCGAATTAAAAGAACCAATTTTAACTCAAGAGTTATATGATGAAGTTATTCAATTTCAATGTATTAATATTCTTATATAAATTTGTTTATAAATATTAATTTATATTTTTATAGATTCTAGTAAAGAAGAACAATTACGCCAAGCTTCTATATTAGTGATGGAAAAATTACCTGAGGATAATTATAAATTATTAAAATTTGTTGTGAGCTTTTTATCGAGGGTAATGGAACGTGCAGATCTAAATAAAATGACGGCACAAAATTTGGCTGTCGTTTTTGGTCCGAATTTAATATGGTCAGATAGTGTTTCAATGTGTCTATCGGCTATAATGCCTATAAATTATTTTACACAATTCCTATTACAACACCACAAAGATATATTCATAGTGTAAAAATCTCCAAAACAAAGATACAAAAAGACTTGAAGTAGTAGACTTTTATAATGTAAACGAAAAGATCGAACTGAGAGCCAAAGATTTTTTTTGGTTATTACAAATTTGTAGATTTTTCAGTTTTTGTATATTACTACAATGTATATTAATATAAATCTAGATATACTATGATGCATTTGTTATATTATTAGTAATTTATCTAAATTGAGATCTTTGTTGGATTGATGATTATAGTGATGATGAGTAGAATGGGAATTTTGAAGAATGTTAAATTAATTGATGTTATACGTAAAACAATAATCTGTAACGTTTTCTTCCAGTATAATTTATTGTTTCTACCTCTTTGTCTGTACTTTCCATAATCACTACTTTTCCATTAGTTTGTACGTGAATAATTCTATTTATTTTTGTATATGTATTAATTAATATTAATTTTTTTTTGTACAATAATCAATGTGATTGTATTTTAACTTTAATTTCCACAGGATATACGTTGTATTCCACTTTGTTAACTTATAAATGTAAAATATAAAAAATATACACTAAAAAAATGTATTATTTTTTATTAAACATACAATTTTTATTGATATTAAATTGATGAATTATGGTTATTATTTTATGATAATTATTTCCCCCCCAAAAAAGCAATTGATTTCATAACTGTTAATTGTTGACTCAGGGACAAGTTTGAGTACCTAGTTATCAATATCCACGTTGTGGAGAATAAGATCTTTAACCAAAGAGTAGTTATTACAAATCAGAAACAGATCTGATCATTCAATAAATATCTCATCTAAAATGATTGACAGACAAATACACTTAATGGTGGAAAATTAAAACACCTTGTTTTTGTTCGAATTAAAAAAAGGAAAGTATCAAATATAGTATTGCAGAATTTTAGGTGGTGACCGCCTAAACCATGGAAGGAAACAAAATTAGAGAATTCTTATAGGAATTGATTGACGCATGACTATTATGTGAATGAAGAAATGCAACATTGCTGAACTATTTTGTTAAAATAAGTGTCGCTTTCTTTGCGTGTAGTCTGTAGTCGTTTTTTTTTGACAACAGTTCTGTTTGTCAAGTCTCATGTTGGGACTTTACTCCGCAGACGAGAAGAACCAGCTCTGTGTCCATCTCTTGGGCGGCCGTCCTTGTGGTCTTTTTCTTTCAGTGGTCCATACATGCATATTCTGGCCAATCTCCTTTCATCCATTCTTTTCACATGCTCCTTCCACCTTTTTTGTCTTACTTTTGTCCATTTTACTACATTCTGTATGTTACATCTTTTTCTGATAGAGGTGTTGGTCTGCCTATCTCACAGTGTCACATTCAACATAGATCTCATGACTTTCATCTCCATCGCCCTCATAATTTCCTTCTACATGCATGTATATGTTCCGCCATATAGTCTCCCTTAGATAAACTGCCACTTGTGCAACTTGTGCTGTCTTACATATAGATCTTAATAGCTTGTAATTTCTACACCAAGATATTTAACAAGCATAACTTGTTCTATTATAGAGTTTCAACTTTGACATCACATGTTCTTAAATTCTCTTCCTTTATCTCCAGTAAGCAATGACATAAACCAGAATGCAGTAGTTACTTCTGATCACTTCCTTATCAGTTTCACCACCATCTTAAGTACAGTAACAGCTAGTTACGGTGTAGTTGTTTCTGATGTAAACGAAAATGGATTATAATGTGGAATTGGTAGCTGGACCAGTTGAAGACATTAAGCTAAACCAACATTACCGAAATAACGACTCTTGACAAACGTTTACAGTGTAGCAAAGAAGTGTATCAAGAGATCTAGGGACTAATAGCAACTTAAATTTGCTTTAAAATGCTCTTTATTACATCATATCTTAACTCGTTTTTGAGATATTTTTTTAATTTCAGATTTTATAGATAAAATAATTAAGCGTGCAGAGTTAGATTTAAAAAATCATAACAACGAAATTTACGGAAAATAAAGAGTTATTTATGGCAGGTTGAAACTTCTTTAAATTTGCTTTAAAATGCTGTTTATTACATGATTATATCTTAACTCGTTCTTAAGATATGATTTTTTTAATTTCTAATTTTGTATAAAAAATAAGCGTGCGGAGTTAGATTTAAAAAATCATAACAATGAGATTTATAGAGAATAAAGAATTATTTATGGCATGTTGAAACTTCTTTAAATTTGCTTTAAAATTCTCTTTATTACATCGTGATATCTTAAATCGTTCTTCAGATATGATTTCTTTAATTTTTTATTTTATAGAAAAAATAATTAAGCGTGCGAAAGAGTTAGATTTAAAAAATCATAACAACGAGATTTATGGAGAATAAAGAATTATTTATGGTACGTTGGAACTTCTTTAAATTTGCTTTAAAATGCTCCTTATTACATCATGATACCTTATCCCCTTCTTGAGATACAATTTTTTTTAATTTCTTATTTTATAGAAAAAATAATTAAGCGTGCAGAAGAGTTAGATTAAAAAAATTATAACAACGAGATTTATGGAGAATAAAGAATTATTTATGGTACGTTGGAACTTCTTTAAATTTGCTTTAAAATGCTCTTTATTACATCATGATATCTTAACTCGTTCTTGAGATATGACTTTTTAATTTTTTATTTTATAGAAAAAATAATTAAGCGTGCGGAAGAGTTAGATTTAAAAAATCATAACAACGAGATTTATGGAGAATAAAGAATTATTTATGGTACGTTGGAACTTCTTTAAAATGCTCTTTATTACATCATGATACCTTAACCCATTCTTGAGATACAATTTTTTTAATTTCAGACTTTATAGAAAAAATAATTAAGCGCGCAGAGTTAGATTTAAAAAATCATAACAATGAGGTTTATGGAGAATAAAGAATTATTTATGGCACGTTGAAACTTCTTTAAATTGGCTTTAAAATGCTCTTTATTACATGATTATATCTTAACTCGTTTTTGAGATATGATTTTTTCAATTTCTGATTTTATAGAAAAAAAAAAAAAATAAAAAATAATCAAACACAGAATTTAGTTAAAAATTCATAACAACGTTGTTTATGGATATTAAGCAATTATTTTAGACACACTTAATCTGCATTAAATTTGCTTTAAAATGCTTTTCATTTCATCATTCTATCTCATTTTGTTTTTGAGATATCACATATTAATTTTTACTTTTCGGCATATACGAAATATGTATATAAGGAGAAAGTATAATTGTGCATTCAAAATCAAGATTTTGCCGCATCTGTTTGTTATAAACTCGCCTGGTTCCATTAAAAATGTGAGAAAGTTGAGTGTAGTAGTTAATTTTTTATGCAAAAATAAGAAAAGTATTTGTAGTTCAACCACACTATTTTATTAATATAAAACTGGCACAATATAAAACATTTATTAATATTATATTAATAATAAGTTAAAAACAAATAAAAATTATTTGATAAACACAAGTTTACCAGACAAAATATATCTTATCATATTCAACAAACAAAAAATATACTGTTAAATAACATTAAAACAAAACAAAATATCACCCAGAACTATATTCTGACAACATTATTAAATAAAACATTTGTGTTCTAAATAAAACTTGTTTCTTCTACATGTAAGATCCTTTTTAGAGTATTGGAAATATTCCTTTTTTAATTATTCAACTTACCCTATAACTGGTCAATTTTTTCATTGCTTTTCGGACTCACTGGTGCTACCGTCAACGTTTCGCTATTTGGCACATCTTTGGATACTCGCAGTACCGGTGTAATAGTAATCATTCCATCACCAGTAATATGAAGACCTATATTTGAAAACATTCTTTGAAACACTCTTCTTGCTACTAATACCCCCCTGATATTACCGTTTTTAGTAGTGAGAATAATTTGTTTATTCGTAGCGTATGCTTCTGTGACACAATTCAAACATACGTTTTTTGGTACGTCTTCATTATTGATAATATCAGTTTTGACTGATGTTCCTTCTTCTTCAACTTGAGTTATTACATCATCAGTAAGCATTGGAGGCGGGTCATCGACCATTTCCGATCCATCCGAATTTATTAAATATAAATCTAATAAATCCTCGCGATTATGGTACTTATAACAACTAAGAACCACTTCTCTTAAGACGTCCGTCCAACACATCTTTTGTTTCTCACGTTCATTTCTTGGATCTGTTCGAACATTTGCCCACGGTAATGCTGTTGGCCACCATGGAGGACGCAAGAACTCTTTTCCCCACCCTGGTTTACTTCTACCTAACGCATATTTTAACATCAAAGGAATAAAAGTTCTTAATTGAACTTGAGTCATTTTTTGAACGGGGGTTGGAATACCATCGATGACTAATGATGGTAAATGAAAACGTGACGTGTCATCTGCGATTAGGGTTGGTGCTTCGTGTGAGAGAGCCTGTTGGAATTCTTCCATAACGATTGAGCGGAGATTTTTGAAGACGTTTTTAAGTGGTTTCGCGCCAATCACTTTGTAATAACCGTTGGGATCCCCCGGCGATGCCACCAACACGACCGCTTGTTGGCCAACACGCAACGAAAACTCATCGAGTAATATTTGGAATTTGCGGAAAAGACGAGTCCGTTGACGCCTACGTACAATTGGGTTCGTTTCAAATAAATGAGGTTTCTTATAACTTTTCACCGAAGCGATCGCAGTTGCTGCAGCAACACCAACGGGGCCGGAAACCGCTAGTTCAGTTGTCACCTCATGTCCTATCACCGACGTTATCGAATCGTCTTCTTCATCAAACGAAGTTTGGGAAGATGAGGTAGTTTCTTCGTCATCACTGTCGGACGAGTCAGAGGAACTTATGGATGAACTATCATCCATATTTGCGTAGTACTTGTTTAATTCACAACCGTTTGAAGAATTCATCACAACCAGCGATTGACCATCACGCACGCACGAACCCTTACAACAAATTTATAATAATTTATGGTGGTAGAACTGTATTGGTGGGCACATTTAGTAAACTCGCGCATGCTCAACACGCGAATTATTCAATTTTAGGTCTTAATGTTATGTGATTTTACATGTGGATGATAATACAATAAAATTAGGTTACACTATTAAAATTGACTTGGTACAAATCGTAGAAAGAAGTTAAATTGAATCTTAACTCGTACATAAGAAATCTTTCCAGTTTCATAATTAATAAATTATTTATAAAGACATCTGCTTAAAAATTACTTGCTTCCGATGATATCAAAATCATTGAAATTAATCAAATTAAATATCCTAATGCAGTCATTTTCAACCTTTTGCTTTCTAATTAATTTAATATCTTAGAAATGATAAAAAAAAATTGGTGAAGAGTTAAATACTAGGTTATATAAGTTCGAAGACTTTCACATCCACTGTTATTAGAAATAAAGCTAAAAACTGAAAGGTGTTGCAACATTTTTCAGAAATAAGTTCAAATCTTCACACAATTCACACAAACAAGTTCGTTTTTAAACCAGTTTTTGGAGAAGGTTGCAAAATGAGATTCATAACGTTATCCCGTGTTTAAAAATTTTTCTTGGGCTTTTTTAAACTAAATGACTTTTTATTATTACTATTAAATATGGTCCTGAGGAGTTACAAAGCAATAAACATTAGTATTCAATACCTGTATTAAAAATAAAAACACCCAGAGAGCCTTTAAACCCTTCTGATATCAAGCAGTATCCTTTAAAAAGAAATTGTCAATGTTGTTACATCGTTAGGTGTAAATAAAATAAAGTTATTAAGTAGTGATAGAGTTAAATGCGTTGATATCTAAGAACCATGTTTAGCGCAAAAGAATTTAGAAAGATAGAACATGCCAAAAGCAAATAAAAAAAATCTTTCTTTCATAATAACGATACTATTTACGAATGTTATTGAAGGATATTCCATTCTGTTCTGTAAATCAACTCAGACAATAATACACTACTTTCAATGTTTCTTGGTCTCTCTTCTTTCAATTTTGTAGTGCTACCATAAGGAGATTAATCTGAAGAAGTTGTAGATGTAAATTGTTAGCATCAACAACCTAAGAGGCTGACAGCTTAGTAACACTACCATATAACCTTCTTGTAACACTGAAAAGATTTTTTAAAGAGTCATGATTTAAAGATTTCAAAATAAAACGCTCAAAATCCTTACCTTTTGAAGAATCAGATAACTACCCCATAATGGAAGATGTTGAGAACTTCTTCTTAATTTACATAATTTAGATGTTAAAGGCTTTGCAGAACTAGAAAAATAATTCATAGAATCCAATATACAATCCATAATGCCTATTTGTTAAAATGTATATGAGGGCAGTGGTGGAACAACATTGATCTTTTAGCTCTGAATGCTCCACTATCCTCAACCGACTCGTATTGCTTATGAATGTTGCTTAATTAGGCCGTTCTACCTTCAAATACAATGTCTTTAATCGCCAAATTATTCCTCATGGTTTACAGTATATGAGAGACATCAAAAAGACGAATAATTTGGTGGTCGTTAATATGATGTATGAAATAATCAGCCTGTATACTTCATTCTATTGCACTCTATGCAAGATTGCAATGCTATATCACTTGATTAATCAATGATTTCCATTTCCACAAATCATAAACGCCAAAATATGCTTATTAGGTTCTGATCTTGTTCTTTGTCTGTTTCTACAATTCCTTCATCATACAAACTATTGGTAACTGTAGTAATCTTAAATTCTTTCCAATCCATCTCATAAAACATAACTATGCAGTAATGTTTCCACAGCAGCATCTTACATAGAATAATAAAATAATTTCTGATTACTCCTTACAATAATAATAAACAATTATGGTGACTTTAATACTAGAAAATGTCTTGGGATATTTTTTTGGTCCTCCTATATTGAACAAACTCTGTACTCCTTTCCCGATATGTTTGTTGAGTTATTACAATGCCGCTATATACGGTTACTTAACATCTTCGTTTGATTACAGTAGATTGTCTAAAGGATTTGATGCAAAATGAATATAACGGGCGTAACTTTCAAACAATGTTGATAATTGCTTCAACTGAAGGAATTTTTATGTTCAAATAGAATATGATACAAAAGTTGTTGACAAAATAAGTCTTCAATGGCTTTAACAGCCTTTGACAGTGGGTAAATACTCGAAAAAGTATGCTACTTTATGATATTAATGTAAACCGATATTTTTACTGTCTTATATACCACGTCGAATAATGTATGAGATACATAACTACATTATATAAATGTAGTCATTTATTATTACAATTGAATTCTATTAAAATTGTACTGAAAACCCGAACAATACCGATTAATCCCGAATGTTGTTAACGCAGCTTGACAACGTTATTTTGAAGAAAACAATTTGTTCACAACTTCTTAGTTAGGATTTAATGCAGGGTGTAAATTGCTTTGGCCCCTTTTGTGTATAAAGGGTACATTTAAACCAGTTTTTTGCTACAAAAGTTGAAATAATACAATTTCGATATAACAAGTCCTAGCTTAATAAAATCATATACCCCTCCAAACAGGATGTTGTGTGCCTAACGAGGACTAACACTCTTCCGCCCCAACGGACTATATCAATCACAAAATAGAATAATAATTAGAAAGCAATACAGGATGTGTGCATAACTGGAGTCTTTAGATTATTTCGTGTCCGGGGTCTAACACAAAAAAACTCTCAACCTCATTATTACTTTGTTATATAATATTTCTGGAGAACAGCTTAATTTAGAAGGCAAGTTTTGCAATTAATACCACATTGATACATTTTTGAAGAACACATTGCAGCCTCAGCTACAAGATACTTTAAATAATGATTTAAATAAAGGTCTTAATTTAAAATAAAAATATATATTAATGAATAACAATAGAGTTATACTACATAGATTTTTCTAGGTTTACTTAACATTATAATAGTTATATGTAATAGTTGTTTAGACCTTAAACACAGCCTTATATCTGTTTTCTTTTAATAGAACCTTGTTTCATATTATAAAAATATTTCAAAAAAAAATATTTTATAACAGGTTTACCTTAAAAATACGTATAAAAATATATATGTTCATAACTTATGTACTTATGTTTTAAAAAGTAGGTGCTCTAGTTCATGATTACTTTATGTGATAATAATACATAATATAAAATACGTATAACAGCACCAAATATCCATCATTATTTCTGTTTTTAAGTAGTTAAACGGTAACTTTTAATTATTATTAACTTTATTAGTATTGTCTATATCTTTTTGGCACTTTTGACAAACGGTGTCCTTCATTAATTTCCTTAAATTATCATTTTCAATACTTTTCTCTCTCAAGGCATCATGTAAATTATCGATAATTTGTTCCTTTTCCATAATCTGTTGTTTTAAATGATAAATAGTCTCTTCAAATCCCTCAAACATAGCCTAAAATAACCCATATTATTTCACAAAGCATTGAATGGCTTAAACAAAAAGAAATACCCTTGATTCTTCACTAGTTTCTGAGTACATTGGAGGCTCTGTTAAACAAAAAAATTCCTGGAGTTCTGTACAATTGACCAATTGATGATCGGATAACATGTGATTTACAAGAGATTGAAGTTTACTAACACGATCTTCTAGGAAGAGTGGATCAAAATTGTTACCTAACCAACGCTTTCGAGGTAGGTATTGGAAGATTCGTGGAGAAAGTTCTTTCAATTTATTACAAAGGCGGACAAAATCGGTGTAACGACGGAAGACGTACCAACAATCACCAGTCGATTTATTTTCCACACGTAATTTGAATACCTAAATAATTTAAAAAAGATTAATTTTTGATATTCAAATTTAATCAAAATAGGGTTATTTTATAGCGCCATCTCTTGACAGAATATGAAATATTGCAAATGACAGCTAGTTTGACATATGACATAACTAATTTAAATAAATTTTTTGAGATTGAGATTTTTTTTAATTGTTCTGCATTAAATAACTTACAGTAAATCTAGCTCTTTCTTCCATAATTTCATATCCTACAATAGGAATTTGCAAACAATTCCCAGCAACATTTCCGTTGCAAGAAAAATATTTAATATCCTCTTGCTTTAAAGTTTCACTCGACATGTCTGTTGATGTTGAATATTGAAACCTGTGATACCTAAACAATTAAAAATTACTAAAAAATTAATCCGAAATTATGTTTTTACCTCAAAGGTTCAGATAAATATTCTTCAGAATCTGTAGTTAATACTTCCTCTGCTTGTTCGCATTCGTCCAGAACAGCGTTGTTATTAATTAAAGGGTCTTCGACTGCTTCTTCAATTTTTAAATGTGTTAAACCATTTACTATTCGAGTTTTGAATGGTTCCGTCATGTTAAAGCTATAAAATCGAGGACGTAACGCACAGTAAATAAGTGTAAATTGCGATAAAAATATAAGTTTACCTCTACAAAGGTGTTGTATTAACCTCCACGTTCATTTCACACAGCACTCACAATAAATTCTTTATTTTAAGGTAGGATGTTTAAATCATGTCATACGATTATTTAAGAACGATTTGAGTTCGAATCACAACTAAAACAAAGAAAATTGCATCCTGTACTACCATATTTTGATTGGGAACGAGCGAAAGTCGACCTTATTTGCGATATACGTAAGCGTGTCGAATGATAAAGCGTTTTATTATTTACTATTAAGCACGAAATTTATTCATCACTCGGATTAGTAGACTTTTTTACAGTTAATTTAATTAGTAGAGTGGGCTAAACCAAGTTTGCACTCTACTAAATACAAGATGTATTAACTTTATTAAGGCTTTAACATTATTCAGAGCGTGATTTTTACTTACAGTGGGGGATTTATTAAAAGGAAATAATTAAATAGTGGAAAGTGTTATGAATTTTTTAAATTTATTTGTGGTAGGAGGTGATATTACGTAAATGTTCACTTTAAAAGATAATATGAAAGTTACAATATCTAATTAACTTATCAAGCAATGATTAATTTTATCAATAATTATTAATAAATTTATTTTTGATTTAATTTACATACTCAGATTAAAGCTTTTTTTTGACAATACAAACAAAATTTGAGGTTATTTTGATATTTGACATTAATATTGCCAACATAAAAATGAACTAACTTGACGTTGGTGTGTTAAAAACGGGATAACCTCACATAACCTACAAAATAAAGTTTAATATGATTCTTTTTAATAATATAAAGCACATTCTTAAAGATAAATTACGTTATTTTATAAAACCTGTAAGACTGAATTCAACCTCTACATTAGATGTGAATACAAACGTTATAAAAGATGTTATTCTTTACAAATACGAAAATCCAAGATTTTTTGTTTATCTAAACGTTTTTGCAATAACCCAGTTTGGATTTTGGGGCTATTTGTCGCATTTTGCTTACACAACGTTGAGAGATGCCCCAGTTGAAGTTACACAAGAAACTTCTTGGTGGAGAAAGATCAATTTGGGGGAAAATAAGTATCGGAATTCTTTAGCTGTATTAAGTTTTATTATAGGTTTCTTTTTTATTTGTTCTTAAATTAAGGGATTAATTTTTGTTATATTTTAGGATATGGAATATTAACCGTGTCGTGGATGTTCACTTTGAGATCAGTAAGATATTTAGTTTTGAGAAAAGGTGGAGGAGAATGTACATTTGTTACTTACACACCCTTTGGAAAAAATCGAATGGTTACTGTACCTTTAAGTGACATGAGTTCAGTGCAAACAAGAAGTACTGCTACCACACAATTACCCATAAAAGTTAAAAATCATAATTTTTATTATATTTTGGATATGAAAGGTGAATTTAAAAACCCGACGCTTTTCGATTATACAGCTGGGTTAAAAAGAACTCTTAAATATAAATAATTTGTGTAAACATTTAATTATAATTTGTATATAAAATAAATATAATAAAAAGTAATCAATTTATGCATTTACAGTACATATTGATTGATATAAATAAAATAATTCATCTGGTACATGGTTCCTTAAATATTCTTTTGATGTTTTTGATAAGGTTGCATAAGAATCTAAAAATTTTAATGCTAAAAATGCATCTTGATTAACATCCATTGATTTTAAACTAAAAAAAAAAGAAATATAAATTCCTTAGTATGATTTAATTAATGATTTACCTTGATTGCTTTGATAATTGAATAACATATTTACATAAATATTGTATAAATAAATCGTTTAAATTCGTATTAAATTGTTTAATAACTGTGTGCAATCCAAAAATTAAAGGGGGGCCATCATATTGATCTATCGTACGTTTTATATTCCCTAAAATTAATTCAAAATTAATTTATTAAGCATAACATTTTTAAAACACTTACCGCCTGATACAAAGAAATACAATTTTTGTAAATGAGCAACAACAAACATAAATAAAATGGAAGCATAGGCTTCCTTAGTTTTAACAGTAACATAAATTTTATTACATGGATTATTCATTCCGGTGTAATCAAAATATTGAGATAATTTAAAAAGGGTGTCTTCTGGTGGAGTTGGTTCTGAATGATTAAGAATATCACTTAGAAGAGCCCTAAAAATATTAAAATCCTTTATTATTGCATTAAATTAATGAAATAAAATACGTACTTATTTAACGCACTCAAAGAAGCTTCTAAATTTTTCGAATTAAACTTACACGTTGTATTTAAATGAAAATTAATTAAATTCCTTAATAATTGTAATTGTCCAATATTTAACACCAACTCTAAGAAATTAACGAATAACTTCGTGGTGCGATTAATACAATTTTGATAATATTTCGAAATGTTTGCGTTGGTTTCGATCGTTTTTAATTCACCGTTAATTGCAGACATAACATTCGTCCAGGTTACATTTTTATTGTCTTTATTCTCAAGTATTGTTATTACTTTTTGGAGATTTGTGGTTATCATAAATGAAAATAAACGATCTAAACCAACTAAACCGGTAACTTCAATAGCTGACATAATTAAATTAATCGTCTGTTTATTAACGATAATTTTCCTAGTTTTTACATCATACCATGTCGCGGTTTGTTCAATATATGAAGTAGTTCTGAAAATAAAAAGAAATGTTACGAAATCAATTCGTTGAGATTAATGACAAGACTTAAACACAACCTAAAAAGACCAGGTGGTATCATGCTATGATAACTTTGGTAATGGATAAATGAAAAGTCCTGGTAGAAAGAAGTTGTCTACTGGCTGTGTTTATTGATATACGTGCGGCATATGATAATGTCCATATCCATACGTTGATCGAGATTATGCAGGGTAGAAATACTCCTCCAGTTTTTTCAGCGATTGTTCAAAAACAATACTCGGAGAAAATACTTAAGTTTAAAAATGACAACAGAACAAGCTACAGGGGCCACAGAGAAGTTCGATTTTATTCAATATACAGGGTGAGTTTTTTCCATGTTTAGTATGGAGATTTCGAAAACTAACGGAGATAGAGCGACGATTAAATAGGGAAAGAATTACAGTTTCATGAACTCAATTTAATGAGCTTTTTGTTTTTTGCATGAAATGCATGGCTAACTAGATATCAAAATTTGCTTAAGGGAAACAAACGTTTGCCTTAAACTGTCATAACCAAACGTATTTATCAATTGTTTCCATAGCGTACTACCTGAACAGTTTGCAAATGAAAAGAATAAATGGCTATAATTTATTTATTAATAAAAATACCTATGTCAAGTGGTATATCATTAGAATCGTTGAGAAAAAGCCTTTTCTATAAAGTCATGGTAAACTAGGGTTTCCATTAGAAAAATTACAAGTTTGTGTCATAACTCAAAAATTATTGCTTAAATAAAAAAATCAGTTAGACTGTTTTATCAAACATGTAATATCCTACAAATTTTTCCTTTACACATTTTTCCTAAAATCAATAATAACGGAGCAATAGGTATCGAACGATATAACAAAAAAACGATTTTTCGAGATATCTAGTTAGCCATGCATTTCATCAAAAAAACAAAAAGCTCATTAGAGTTCATAAAACTGCAATTCTTTCCCTATTTAATAGTCTCTCTATGTCCGCTAGTTTTCGAGATCTCCATACTAATCATGGAAAAAAACTCACCCTGTATATCTGTCCTCCCCTAGTCAAGAACAGATTGAACTTGTTGTATTGTACTTTTGCTAACATTGAAACTGCAGAAAATCACATGAATCGAGCACTAGAGGTCGTAAAATCCTTTCTAGCCAAACGACAACTTGAGATATCACTAGAAAAAATAAAAGCAGTTCTTTTCACTAGAAAAAGAAATATACATCATCCAATCATTTAATATGATGGTATTTAGGATATCATATCAACGGGAAACTAAGTTGGAAAGAACAAGTTAATACAATAGTGAAGGCCTGTAAAGAAGATATTAACCTAATTAAATCCTTAGCAAACTCGAAATGGGGGGGTGATCATATAATATTAAGTACTCTATACCGGGTGTCCCTTAGAAATGGCTCACCCCATATTTTTTTTTAATTGTTAGTGATATAAGAAAACTATTTGGAATGCATAATTAGGCCGTTAAAGCGGAATTATTACGACATGAAATCATTCCCTTTGTACTTCCGGTTGTACCGGATGTGAGTACTAATTTCGCTATTTTTTTAAATCTATTTTTTTTTCTTTAGTTGAGTAGACAGCATAATTTCACATAACTTTTACTTGAAAGAATTTTCACGATCGCTTATAATTTTTGAAAAAAAAATTATTTTCATTATTTTTTAACGTTTTAGTAGCTTCGGAAAATGTATTACAACTTTTGACGCATAGTAGCTAGGTTAATAGTATAAACTACGCTATCTTGATTTGCTATTTCTCGAGCAGTGATCACTGCTATGCTTTAGTCAGTGGTTCTTTTTTAATAATGGTGTAAGTTAACAGTTGTATTAAATTAGTTTTAAAAGAAAAACGCGATCAAATAAGATAGGTATAGAGCAATAGTCAAATCCAGAATTGAATATGGTTTGTGGATACTAAAGCCTATTCTTAAAATTACGATGAATAATCTTCAGGTAATGTCAATGTAAATGTTTTGCTAAATAATGTTTCCAAAGTTGCGTTTTATTGGTCTTATTAGAACAGTTCGTTATTAGAAAATGTTCGTTATTGGAAAAGCAAAAAAAGGCAACAGCACGCGGTGTTCCCAAGCGGTCACCCATCCAAGTACTGACCGCGCCCGACAGTGTTTAACTTCGGTGATCAGACGAGAACCGGTACATTCACTGTAGTATGGCCGTTGCCTACGTATAAAACTTCATGCTAGCTTACATTTGACCATAATAGTGTCACTTCAGATTTGCACGACGTATTCGGCGGGAAAATATAACATTATACAACATTATTACACTGTTGGAAATAATTCACGAGCACACTCTGTATAATCTGAACGCGTGTGTCTAGCGCAATAAAATTTGGTATGGAAGTAGTACTAAAGTAGTGTAACTTACTCTCACATAGAGAACGGCTCAACTCTGCTGGGAGGAGAAATATCAATAGCGAGAGTATCCCCCGTGAGCTTCGCGTACCATCGCTACACGACGTGGCATGGAGTCTATAAGTCGCTATATTGTAGCGAGAGGGATGGCCAACCATGCCAACTCAACTCGCCTCCATAGCTCCTCAACGTTAGCCGAGGAAGTCGGATAACGTAGAAGTCTCCGACCAGTCATGTCCCAAACATGTTCTATCGGATTCAGATGCGGAAACCGAGGTAGCCATGGAAGCATTCGTATACGATGCTCTTCCACAAAGGTCTATACAACACGCCCGATGTGCTGTCGTACGTTGTCGTGCATGTATAGCAGACCTGGGAGCCGTCGAACGTAGGGAAACACAACGGACCGTAGCACCTCATCTACGTATCGTTGACCCGTCATGGTCTGCTATACACGCAGCAGACGTGTACGTCCACCATATGTAATCGCACCCGATACCATAATGTTCTGTTGTCGGTGGATAGGGTGTTCTTGCACACACTGCTCGAGTAGACGATCATCACGGCTCCGACGATCTAAAATTCGCGCATCACCGGTGCTCAATTCGAATCTTGATTCGTCGGAACACAAAATGTCCCTCTACTCGGCAACCTACTAATGCCTAGTGTCGACCCACTCGTGATGTATGCTGCGGTGCTTGGGTGTTACTGCAATCCGCTGTATCGCACGACGCGCGCGCCAGTCCACTATCTACCAAACGCCGCCGTACTGTTCGCGTAGTGAGTGCGCCTACCCCTGCCAGTGGCCAAACAGCTCCAAGTTGCCTTGAGAAGGACACACACGACGCTAAAGCGCTGAGCACAAGAGCGCGATCCTCGTGTGTTGGGGACGTGCAGGGCCGCGGCTGAAGGTACCTATGTCCTACCTCAGACCATTCTCGCCATGCCCGTTGCACTGCCGATAACGACCGCTCGAGACGACGCGCGATTTCACAGAACGATACACCCTCAATGTGCATACCCACAAACATTCCTCGCCCAAACTCGCTTAAGTAACGCGATCGCCCATCCATTGCGCACAGAGTACGATAACCTTTGTAGTCCCTCACACCACACTAAAAACGACCGGTATTTTCCATCCACTTCGGTCTCCATAGCGACTAAATGTTCCACATGGAAGGGCGGCTCAGTCAACAATGCCGCGACGGAACAACTCGAAACTCCCTGAATAAACTCGTCTACAGTAAACCTTTGTACTCCGCAAATATTATGGATTTATCTTCACGCGTTCAGATTATGTAGGGTGTGCTCGTGAATTATTTCCAACAGTGTATATTGCAATGTCATGCAACACTTTGCCTGACACGACGTATGTAATGCGTTATATTTTCCCGACGAACACATCGTGCAAATCTGAACTGCCACTATTATGGTCAAACGTAAGCTAGTAACTTGAAAACTGAAATGTAAATTTTACTTTCAACCTGTTAAATTTGCAATTCACTAAAGTTGGTTCCCATTT